GGCGTGAGATTCGACTCTTAATAAAAGTAGACTGTGATCTTGCTTCGCTTGGGTTGCTCGGCGTCCTAGAGATCCAAGGGTCTGGTGTCTGAGGGACCCCCTCCTCAGGCGTTGGCGTTCGGAACTTTACATCCAGCTTTGAGAGAACACTTTCTGCATTCAAAGGGACAAGTCCAGCTCCTCGGAAACCTCCCTGGATATTTTTCCTCGTAAAAGACTGCTTAAAAGCTTCGTGAAATGCTGCAAAGAAATCTTCCTTCGAGATATGGGTTATGCCTCGCCGCATCTTATTCTCAATTTGCCGACCGTAGGCATTCTTTAACGGCTGAAAACAACCAACATCTAAGGGTTGAAGTAGATGAGACGAGTGAGCCGGCATGCACAGTGTAATAATGTTGTTTTCTTGACAAAAGAGCTCGAAGGCTGCGGAGTGGTGACTTTCATGACCATCAACAACGAGGAGGCGATATTTCCCAGACGTACGTGGTTTTGTATAAATGTCGAAGTGTCTGATCCAGTCAATACCTCTCTCGTTTGTTGTCCATCCATTTTCAGACGTTGCAATAGCCTAATCGCCCGGAAGAGAGGTTTCTGTATACCAGCTTGAGAGGTGATACTGGCCTGCAACGATGATGTATGGCGGGATGCTCTCCCCTTGGGAATTAATAGCCTGGATAACTGTAACCCATTCCCTATTGCCAGGCTGTGTCATCTTCGTATTTGAACGCCTTTCAGCACTTGTAACAACCATTCCAGAAGCAATAACGCCCATCATAAAGCCGGTCTCATCAAAGTTGTAGATATCAGCATCAGCAATACCATACTTCGCAATTGTATTCTTCACAAGCGAAAACCAGCCACGAATCACCTCTGGATCTTCGCATTGAGCTCTCTTATAGTCATACTTGCGAAAGAAACGCGTCCTAAGCTGTGGTTGTCGCTTGACGAAATTAGAAGCCCAGCGCTTCCCAACTGGAGGCGCGTCGCGCTCTGCGAGAAGTCGATTGGCCATTTCTTCCACACCACTCAGCCGGGGAGGAAATGATCGCGCATCTAGGTCGAGAATATACTCAACTATTGTCTTCTCTTCTAAATCTGATAAATTCCGTGAATTAGGCATGCTGTCGCGTCGTGAGACTATTCCCTTTAGTCGCCGGCTTAATGTTGCGTGACTGACTGTATAGAGTGCACCTGCGGCCCGAGCACTAAGTTTTGGGTCATTTCTCATTGCTTGAAGGGCAATTTGTAACCTTCTTTCAATACTAGCTGATTCCATGATTTATTGTAGAGGAAAAGGTGCCGGTCGCGTCAAGGTGCGACGGTCGCGGTTTACTGTCTCACTCGCTTGTCTGTCTCACTCGCTTATCATGTACGTTAGTCTTACTTATTAAAAAGTTTATTAAGGTTAGCTTATAGTTATATCCGATATTACTAACTATAGCTTTTAAAAGTCTTCGTAATTCCTTTCGTATTAGCTATACTTAAGTAATACTTTAAGAGGTTATTACTTTTACTATTAAAGCTATGTTAGTAGCGTAATTAGCTTTAGTTTAGTAGTTTCGTTATTTCTTATAAGTTACTTGCCTTTCGTAATATCTAACTCTTCTAAGCTTAGTTCTCCGAATTATCTTTAAAGGTTTTAAAGTTCTTAGGTATAGATAATCGCCTTAGCAATACTATTTACTACTTCGTTATAGTCGTAATTCTCTATCTTCTAGCTGTCTTCGAGTTACGTTACCTAAGTCTAGGTTCTATCGTCGTATCTAACGTCGATTCGGCTAATATTTATATTCTACGTAATAAACGCTATAATACTTATATATACTTAAAAGGAGTCTGAAATTCTTATTATTTTAGGATTATTAAGATATATCTCCTAATATCGTAAGAGACGTCTTGCTATCTCGCGATGACCGTTATTTAACCTCGGGTTATTTACGTAACTTATCGTATAAGTCTATGTTAGCTACGTCAAGGTATAGGTTATGATTTTAAGCGAGTAGGCTTATAAGGTATTTCCCTCGAGATTCTCCGCGATATATCGCGGTTAAATCGAGAGAAAAAATTAATCGAGATTAAGTTATACTACTACTTGTTATAGTTCTTCTTGCTAGCATATAGCTATAATAAGCAGAGGTCGGAACCGTAATAAGAATAAAGATATAAATAGAATAGTATAAAAGTTAAATAAATAGTTATAAGGTAATAAATAATAATAAATTAATAAATATAAGTAACGTACATGATAAGCGAGTGAGACAGACAAGCGAGTGAGACAGTAAACCGCGACCGTCGCACCTTGACGCGACCGGCACCTTTTCCTCTACAATAAATCATGGAATCAGCTAGTATTGAAAGAAGGTTACAAATTGCCCTTCAAGCAATGAGAAATGACCCAAAACTTAGTGCTCGGGCCGCAGGTGCACTCTATACAGTCAGTCACGCAACATTAAGCCGGCGACTAAAGGGAATAGTCTCACGACGCGACAGCATGCCTAATTCACGGAATTTATCAGATTTAGAAGAGAAGACAATAGTTGAGTATATTCTCGACCTAGATACGCGATCATTTCCTCCCCGGCTGAGTGGTGTGGAAGAAATGGCCAATCGACTTCTCGCAGAGCGCGACGCGCCTCCAGTTGGGAAGCGCTGGGCTTCTAATTTCGTCAAGCGACAACCACAGCTTAGGACGCGTTTCTTTCGCAAGTATAACTATAAGAGAGCTCAATGCGAAGATCCAGAGGTGATTCGTGGCTGGTTTTCGCTTGTGAAGAATATAATTGCGAAGTATGGTATTGCTGATGCTGATATCTACAACTTTGATGAGACCGGCTTTATGATGGGCGTTATTGCTTCTGGAATGGTTGTTACAAGTGCTGAAAGGCGTTCAAATACGAAGATGACACAGCCTGGCAATAGGGAATGGGTTACAGTTATCCAGGCTATTAATTCCCAAGGGGAGAGCATCCCGCCATACATCATCGTTGCAGGCCAGTATCACCTCTCAAGCTGGTATACAGAAACCTCTCTTCCGGGCGATTAGGCTATTGCAACGTCTGAAAATGGATGGACAACAAACGAGAGAGGTATTGACTGGATCAGACACTTCGACATTTATACAAAACCACGTACGTCTGGGAAATATCGCCTCCTCGTTGTTGATGGTCATGAAAGTCACCACTCCGCAGCCTTCGAGCTCTTTTGTCAAGAAAACAACATTATTACACTGTGCATGCCGGCTCACTCGTCTCATCTACTTCAACCCTTAGATGTTGGTTGTTTTCAGCCGTTAAAGAATGCCTACGGTCGGCAAATTGAGAATAAGATGCGGCGAGGCACAACCCATATCTCGAAGGAAGATTTCTTTGCAGCATTTCACGAAGCTTTTAAGCAGTCTTTTACGAGGAAAAATATCCAGGGAGGTTTCCGAGGAGCTGGACTTGTCCCTTTGAATGCAGAAAGTGTTCTCTCAAAGCTGGATGTAAAGTTCCGAACGCCAACGCCTGAGGAGGGGGTCCCTCAGACACCAGACCCTTGGATCTCTAGGACGCCGAGCAACCCAAGCGAAGCAAGATCACAGTCTACTTTTATTAAGAGTCGAATCTCACGCCACCGAAGCAGCTCTCCAGCATCAATTTATAGTGCTGTGAGTAAGCTAGCCAGAGGGACAGAAGGACTAGGGCATCGGGTAGCATTACTAGAGTCAGAGGTTCAAATCCTTCGAGAGGAGAATGCAATATTAAGTCGGCGTCGAAGGGCTAAGAAAACACGTCTACAGAAAGGAGGAAGTCTTACTATATCTACTGGAGAGGATATACAGTCGCAAAGAGAGGCAGACACGCAACTACAAGAGGAAACGCGACGGAGTAGTGGTCGCAAAGTGAGGTCTGAGACGACTCATCGTCGGTGTGGCGTATGCAGGAATACAGGCCACAACGCGAGAACATGTCAATTTATTGAGGAAACATCCGAAGAACAGGAATCCGAGTAGTATTAATCAATCTAAGATTTCTTGTTATAGATTTCGATATTATTGTCGCGAAGGTCTGGTTTACTGTCTCACTCGCTTGTCTGTCTCACTCGCTTATCATGTACGTTATAAGAAATTAATAAGCTAGTTTAAAAAACTAAAACTAAAATAGTTAAATTCTCGTAAGAACGAGGAAATCGAAGTAAAAGTATAGTTATAACTAAAAAGTCTGTTATTATAGTAGAATTCCGTAGTATTTATAAAAACTAGTAGGTTATAATAGTCGGTTGCATGCTACGTAATATTCGTACGCGCTAGGCAGCTAATATCGCGTTAGAAAGTAAAATTCGTTAGCGAAGAGGAAAGAAAGCGAGAAAATCGCATAGAAAGGTAAATAAAGCGAATAAAATCGTAAAAATTCGTAAATCAATAGAAAATTAACAAACGAGTAGAATAATAGGTAAAACGACGTTATTCCGAAAGAATAACGCTAGGCTTATAACCTGTAGGCAAGAACCGGCATAGAACGCTTAGAATAGGAAAAGTGGTGTTGTTGGTTGAAGAACTAACTAACTAGCTAGAGGGCTGTGGAGGCTGGCTAAGACCAGTGGTGGCGGCCGTCAGCCCACGTGACGGGCCGGCGAGGCCTGCCACCCACATAGGACGACAGCAGCGGCCAGGGGCACACTCGAGTATCATACGGTATCATAAGCTTCGCGCAGAGGATGGTGAAGAACGCTAGGAAGAGAAAAGGGCTGAGGAACAGGCACAACGTCGTTATGCTTGACGTGAAGGCGGTGGCGGGCACCATGAACCGCTTTGCCGTTGGCGTCGTATAGGGCAGTTGTTACTACGGAGATGTGCGCAAGAACAAGGAATGACAGCTGCGCAGTCAAAGACTATCCTGGAGGACATCCTCCCAAGGATTATTTTGTATGCAAACCGCTCGCATGTCCCGGCGGTGGCGCCGGTGCATGGAGACCCTGTTTTAGATCATCCCATTTCTGTTGATAACATAATTGCGGGAATGTCATGGTTCGGGGGCACAGCCAACATCGGTTTTTCTTGAGTACTTTGTCGGGTTAGGCCCGTATGGCGTCAACACCTCACTGAATAATATGTCTTTTAGGATGCCCATAGGAGGGAACACAGCTGTCATCGCCAAAATCCTGGTAACCAGGCTGTGCGACACCATGAATCCTGCCGCACGTGATAAAATTGCTTGTCCTAGACACTTTAGGGGATTTCAGGCTGCAATGTGAGTGTCAAACATTAAATGCACTCTGTGAGACAGCATCTTAGACTCACCTACTGATGTAGCCCCTTGCAAAGGACTCAAGTTGGACACCAGACCGAAAGCTCTTATAACGAAAGGCCTAGGTATTCAGATTAACAACAAGGTCATGAAAATAGGTAGTTTGCCGTGGTCATCGTTTAGTTCACCGAATAGAAGAAAAGTGCATGCATTGAAAATGACACTGAACTTTTCACTGAAAACGTCAATGAGTCAAAAAAGCAAACGCAGCCAAGGTGACAGACAGAGTGAGACATGCAATGCACCAGTGACACTGTTACAGCGCTTTAGTGGGGCGTCACTTCATTCTGTACCGGTGGTACAGCGCTGGCAAGGTTGCATTCCTAGGCTCTAGCTCAACCACAACGTCGGGGCTGGGGAAGTTCCACAACAACATTTCGTCGATTGGCATCGGATGAACACTGGTAGGGCTGTCATGTTTCACCTTAACTTGAAGGCTGGAATGGTATTCAACGTTATCAACTTGGAGATTTAGCAGCCAAACGCGTTTTGCGGTAAATCTTCAAGGGCGTTGGTAATCTTAGGTGCTCAAGGACGCTTGAGTAATGGCACTTTCGCCGGGTAGGCTTCCTCGACAAGATTTAACGCAATTTGGATCAAGGCAGATGTTTAAACAAATTCAATCAAAATAACCTTCAGTATGACCGAATGAAACTCGGAATTATGCCAAGACAATCCAAGTAAGCTGAAGGACGACAGAGAGGGCAAATCATAGCCTGGGTGAGCAGTGAGAAGACCAACACATGTGTGCCGGCAACCGCCGAAAATCTGCTGATCGGGTAAAGTGAGTACAATAAGCAACCAGCTGGGCGAATCTCCCGTCCCGGCATATGTGTCGGTTTCCAAGAACACCAAAATAATCAATGTGTGGAACATCATCATGCAAATGACCAGACTCAAAACTTCGACGCGCAGGGCTAGGCCCGGTACATTACGTCGCTCATCGACCAGGTCAACTCATCATCGGCGATGTCCATGATTCCATCAATCTCTACATCATGTCAACCAAGATAAGGCCAACGTGCCATCTGATCTATCCCCCCCAAGAAACTGGCCTGGCCGGCTTCCATGCTGCAAGGTTGCTGCGCCGCAAGGATTTGTTAGCGAATGAGAGCACATGCTTATGAACTGCACCGCCGACGGCCGGGCAGAAATCGTTCGACCGGCAGAGTCACGCTGGGCAGACACAGGGGCCAGAAGATTCCGATCTGCCCCAAACAACCCCTCCAGCTCGTTCCAAGGCTACCAACTAAAAGGGCTTTAGTGCGAAGAGAGAACGGGTTAGAGTCAGATCTCATCCCCAAATGGCCCGAAGTGCCTTACGGACAGGGGGGGGCTGAGGGTTTACCCACAGGTCCGAATTTGACAGGGCCCCATTCCATCCTCCCAAAAAATGATAGCGACCAGACCGCGCCATCGGGACGCAATCACACCACCACACCACCAAACTCGGCCGGACACCACACCACCCTCGAACTATCAACAGACAATCGACGAAAAACCAACAAAGTCAACCACACCACGCTCGGGAGAAGCAGGTAAAGTCGATTTTATAAATGCTTTTACAATGGCTGCGATCAGAGAACCGGATCTTAGATGCACTCCATTCCACATCAACCACCTCACACAAAGCAAACCATTTAGTGTTTCCAATTACACAGCTTCGGCTATCTCAACAGCCTTACATATATATACACACACCTACTTGTCAACCTACGACAACACCAACCACAACAACCTTCACAATGGTCAACCAACCCGCCAAGGTTCCCGTCACCAACCCGGCTCTTGCCAGGTTTCTGCCTGCTGCCATCACAATCGGCATCGGTAAGCCCTCCCCTCCACTTGAAATCCAACTATACACGGCCCTTTGACTAACACCAACCTTGTCTCACAGTTTCTGCTGTTGCCATGAACGTTCGCTGGCAACTCAAGACCGAGGCCCAGACCATGGACCGCTTCTTCTCCAAGTACAAGAACCCCAAGAGCGAAGCCATCCGCCAACAGGTCTTTGACGGCGCCATCGAAGACCCCCGCAAGAGCTGGTACAACATTCTGGGCTGGTGACTGTTCGAGGATTAAAGGAGACGACCAAGGAGTTTTTTTTTTTTTTTTTGTGCGACACTACACATACATTGCCGGGCGTTTAATAATTTTCTGTTTCGGGATTAGGGCGTCATAGGTTGGCGAGGGCGTCATGCATCGGTTTAGTTTCAGTGCGACCACCCGGGAAGCATACGACCAAGAGGTGGATAGTCTGTTGGATAAGGGGGGGAGTATAGTCGGACGAAGCATCGATACCAGCCAGCAACAATATCATACAATTACCGTTAATACTGCCGTTTGCACACGTTTCAATGTGAAAGAATTAATCTCGCTAGTGTGTTGCACCAGTCTTTCTAAGATTCTAGCAAGGTGTACTGAGTTTTGACTCGACGGCAGTTTCAGCAAAAATCAAGTCTGCCAGCTGATGATACAGAGCGCTTCAAGAAATTCTGTACTTTCTTTTGCGCTATAGCATCATTTCTATCACAGATGATAATTGCTGATACCTGTTTCATGAATTTTCTTCCGTCACTCAGTCGGTACTCGTTTGTGCTGTCGGTGTCTTAGGCCCGCAAAGTTGCCAACTAGAGCCTTGAGAAAATCATTCAGCGTCTACAGCCTTCTCAGCCGGCTGTCAATTCTCCGTCACAGTTACTACAATAGAAAAACTGCCTCTAGTAGAGAAACTGACTTGACAACATGTTATACACATCACCTGCTGATCCGGTTCCAAACGCCTGATACATAAACGCCTCGTTCATACCAGTCAGGTCATCCCCAAAGAGACCTCCACCTAGCTCTGTCTCTGTGCTTTCCTGCTGAGAAAAAGCATTAGGATCCCAGCTCTGGTTCAGAACTTGTGTCTCAGCCAAACCGGGTTCTGCGGCTTCCAGGACTTTTGATTGTGCCTCTTCGCCGACTTGACCAGTTGACAGAAACTGCCAGCCGTAAGAGACTGGCTCAGTCCCGCTGCCATAGCCCGCATTCGCGTTGACGACCTGTCTTTCCGCCTCCTGTTTCCGCGTTGTCCACATACGCATCAGCATCTTTTCCAACCCTTGCCCGATGTGCTTCAGCATGTGGCGATCAGACGTGACTGCCTCTTTCAACACCGTGACCATTTTCTCCAAAAGGTGCGACACGTTCGCGTACTCGATGTTCAACCCCATGATGCGGTCCCATTTCGTCGCAACCTTCATGAGAAACACGCTGGCGAACGCAATCATGGTGTGCACGTACAAGGGCGTCCCGACCAGTGCTCTTCGCAAATCCCCCTCCTCTTGTACCAAAGTGAGGATGCTCGAAGCCGCCGAGATGGCCATGTTGGCGAACTCCTTGCGTTCGGTCGACATCTTGTTCGAGTTGATGGATACACCGCGGATCGAAAGGGCGTTGATTTGAAGCTTCGCAAAGTAGGAGTATAGGATGACGCCTTTGTTCGTGAACTGTCCGATGAATGGACTCGGTGGTTGTCTTTCGTACCATCGCATGCGCCAGTGGTCAACTTCGACGTTGAAGCGACGAAGAGTGTCGAAATCAGACTCGGAGAGGCTCACGGCAGACGACCTGGTGTCAGAGCACCCTTCGTAATTTTCTTTTCGGAGTGCTGTAGTATAATTGCCACCGTATCCAGCAGTGCGGACTTGGTGGATTGACGGCAGGGGTCGTTCGGAGAATCGTTCGTAGACTTGAGTGAGGATCTGCATTAGGCTGACCTGGCTGAGTATTCGAGTGTCAAGAACGCTGGAGAAAGGACTAGCGCGGAACAGCTCGAATTGTCGGATTTGCGTGCTTTCTATTACTGTCGGAGGGCGCCCGTATGCAATGCTGAAATGACGGTCGCACACGTACAGCATGTACCATAACCTTGCCTTCAGAAAGTGGCTTTTGTCGCCTTCAAGAGCGAGTATAAATGATTGGTGGATGCCAAGCTCAGTCGCGATTCGAATTGCGTGGCCAGTCAGCTTCCACGAATGTTCCGACAGCCAGAAAGCTGAGATGCATAAGCCCCGGACGTCGTCGACGGAATGGTATCGTGAAAACATGGAGGATGACACTAGCGAAAGAAACTCGTTGTAGCAGGCATCAAAGGTGTCAGCTGAATCCGGAAGGTGAAGTGCTGTTACGGTGAGAATCGTAGCCGCCAGAAGCTCCGAAGACCTCCGTACGGAAGTCCATGATGAGTGGATTTCCTCGATGCCAACCCAAAGGTAGTGGTTTAGTGTTTTCTGAAAACTGGACGAAAAGAGTGTTAGCTAAAGTAATTGTTGGAGTATCGACGCCTTTCTGAGTAGCAAGTCGGCTGAAGCGAATGGATTCCCTACATTTTATACAGCCCTTCTGCCTGTTCTTCCGAGATGACCCCCCGAGAGATGAAGTCGTCCAAAGTGTCCTGTTCCGCCGAATGTGGAAGTACATTGTTGGCTTGATTGTTCCGGATATTCTTCAGTCGTGTCACCTGGTAAAGGCTGCCCATTGGCTCTTCCAACGTTTCAGGCCCGTATTGCTGATCATCTTCGGAGACAGGATTTGGTGAATCTTCCCTGGCCATTTCCAGCCTCGTGTTAGTGTCCTGATCCCCCCTTTTCCGCGTAGAAGTTAGCCGTGAGGGCGACTGTTTAACCGGAGTCGAACTTGCTTGCTTTTCTTCGGGTGACCTGGAACCGACCTTGCTGCTTGGGATGTTTGGTGAAGCGTGGGATGTGTTCTGAACGTGTGAAAGCCCTCCGGCCTTGCCTAAAACGGCATCCAAGGACTGTTTCATTTGCTTTATTTCCTCTCGCATTGCATCAATCTTTCCACTGCATATGATTAGCAGTCTTTCTCGCTCTGGGTAAGACCAAATGCTACTTCAACTTACTCAAAATCGAAAGGCCTGTCATCTTTCGGGTCATCAGAATGGAGTTGCGCCATAAAAGTACGTTTGATGATGCAATCAACCTTCCGTCTCAGACAATGTCGACATTTGCGATCACCAGGGAATATCTCGCACTTCATTTTCAATTTTTTGCATTCCAGGCCTGGGATGAATGTTAGTCTCGGCGCTTCAGGAGTGCTTCAGATCAACCAAGGAGATACTCACATGCCTTGGGCTTTCTTCCAGGGCCAGATCCAGCCTTTCGCAAAGGACCCGCCCCAGACTTGCTCGGGTTCGTGCCATTTTCCAGTTCATTGTCGGTGTAGTTTGCATCTGGTGATTTTTGGGCTGCTTGTAATTTTCTGAAATTTTCCGTAGGCGACGATATGTTCATGTTTAAAATGTCTGTAAGATATCCCAGCAAGAAGACACCTGCTAAGTCCAAGGGGCCACAGTGGGAAATCGGGAAATCAACCGAGTTTTTAATTGCCCTACCAGAAGATGCTTTCACAACCGGTATTTTACGACTTGCCTAGTATGCACAACTTAGGCAAGGCACGTGATGGGCGGATGCTTTTAGCATTCGACTGCTTTTGACATCAGAACGATTTAAGCATACAGATAAGCGCCTTCCAGCGACTCCATACATGCATAGCCTTGGAAAGACTCGTCTTGTTATGGTGGCGCCAGGCCCAAGAGCGAGTGCCTTGGCAACCTGATACGCCTATTGTAACTAAAATTTGTGTCGCTCTGACCAGTCGGGGGCCTTGATTCTAGCTTCTAGAGGCTTAGTGTTTTGCATTAATCAGCAGCTCTAAATCCGCCGAAGTAAGACCAGGCTTGCGGAGTGCTGATTCATAATATCTCCTAGCCATACTCTCATCTATCTGCATGTTCACTAGGTGCTTTTGCTTGTTGAAGCAATTTCGAAGCCATGGCATCATAACTTATTTAGATTCCCTAGACAAGAATAAACATGTTGTGTCCTCAATTGTGAACGACTCCTCCTGACTCCCCCTGAGAAGCGGTAGACTAACTAGACAAAACTCTGAAAAAGTCATCGCGTGTTGCATCTCTACAAGTCTTAGCTAACTTAATCGTGCATGCTAGAGTGCATCGTTTCGAACTTATGCCGGTAGCGCTGTAAAAGTTATCATCCGCACTAACTAGTTTGTCGTGTTCGTGACCGGCTACTTAAAGTCCGATTTTCCGTCCGATTTCCCGGGCTACCAAGTGGGACACCTCACAGCCTCCCTCAAGCTCTAGCCATAACGAATAATTCCTACATGCTTCTTTGATCCTAAGGCCACCATACTTTGTTTTTTCTAGGGTACTAAAGCTACCGGGTCTAAGCCATCTCGGCCGCTACGTCATGCTCCCACGCAGTTAACTGACGCTCTGTGGCACTAACCTGGCATCGCTGAGAGTGATCACGTTGCCGCCGTTCCACTTGGCTAATCTCTGTTCTCAATTTCTTACGACTTAACTCTCCTGCGCGTATTTCTCGCCAGACCCAGGTCTTATTCTTTAAGCTAACTATCGTCATATAGCTCATGAGGGTATCGATGGATGTAGACCTTAACTTTGCATCGGACTCCTCATATTCCTCGAGGCCTGTCCCATTTGGATGAGGCACTGTCCGAGTCACAACTCCACACCCGTCATTTGTTTGTCGGACTGGCCGAACTCTCAATTGCCGCAACCAATCAAAACAGCACAATTGCGAGCGAACCAATCGTTGAATCAGATTAGGCTCTCTCTCTCGATTCCGAGTTCCACTCATAATGCTTCTTGTCCTTTGAGAAGATGTCCTCGATCCATCCATCATTCCCAGCAAAATATTTTGGCCCCCATTGTTTTAATAAAGCTTTATACTTATGCTATTTCCTGCATCCTTCCTTCGATCAGTTGAAAGTCGGCAAGCTCCAGCGTATCGCCATGGATGACACCTTAACTCGCAGAGGAGCAGGTGCCAACTCGCGCAGGATTGTCCGGGTCAAGTCAGGGTGTAGAACCTGCAGGTAGTAACTCACTACCAATATACAATCTTGATCTCAGCTGGTTAACATGCAACAGAATACGTAGAGTAAAGTGTGATGAAATCAGGCCATCCTGTTCCCGCTGTGTTCAGACAGGTAGGACTTGTGATGGCTACGGCATTTGGAACAGTGGAAATCAACCAGGACAAAACTGGTTGGAGAACCCCTCAATTCCTGCCTTCGTCCACACCTCTGTTGCAGGTCTTGCAGGTCCCGATAAACAGCTCTTTGAGTGGTTCATACGGGAAGCCATCGGCAAGTTCAATGGTGTACCCGAGTTCCCTTTTTGGGCCAAAGCCATGTTACAAATGTGCACAACCGAGTCTGTAGTATTGCATACGGCATTGGCAGTGGCATCCGCACATAGGGCGGAAATGATCAATGCTGGCTGCCTGCTGATAAGCGGCAGTCGTCAATCGCAAAAGACCGCCATGGCAGAGTCCGAGACTCTGCAGCGCTACAACAAGTCGATTGTGTTGCTTCGAGCTGAACTATCGAGACAGACTACGGCGTCCATCCGCGTTGCCATCGCCTCTTGCATACTGTTCATCTGCATGGAATATATCCGTCGAAGATTCGAATCGGGATATCGACATCTTCAATGCGGCCTTAGTTTATTGAAACAAATATCACCCAGGCCAAGTACGACAGATCCTAGTAGCTCTGATTCTGGTTTATCGACGGACCCTTTAGTTGATGTTCTTTCCCGCCTCGATATCCAGTCCAAACTATTGAAGAACGAACTGCATCCTGGCCTTTGCTCTCAGATATTCGGTTCAAACGAAGGAATACCGAGCTCTTTCTCGTCGTTGAGGGAAGCAAGACATCATCTGAACAAACTCCTCGCTACAGCACACAATCTGGAGCTAGAATGCCAAAAATATGGCCCGACCTACAACTTTACAAACCCTTTCGAACTTTTGTGTGGCCAAAAGTGCTTAAGAAACGATTTGGTATCATGGACACAAAGTTTTAACTCTCTCAAAGTCAACAACGGGGCTTTATTGTCACAAGAGAAACTTGCCCATGACGTACTACCAATATACCACACCCTGGCATACGTCATCACCGAAATAGCTCTCCAACCAGGAGATGAGTGCGTATTTGACAAATACACCAAACAATTCAAGTTTATCGTCGAGTCATCAAAGGAAATTCTAAACACTTATTTGCCAACGATTCTTGCTGAGATGCTCTCGGGTCATTGTACCGCACGGTTCAGTTTCATTGCCGACTGGGGTCTCATACCGCCGCTGTATTTCGTCTCGTTGAAGTGCCGCGATCCGCGCATACGACGCAAGGCGATTGATTTACTCGCCAACAGCTTACACCGAGAGGGTATCTGGGATGGACCAACCGCGGCCGTGATTGCTTCAGAAGTCGTGAGGCTTGAGGAGGTCAATTTGTATAAAGATCACTTCCAGCAGCTTCATGCTACGGAGGGGTCTGCTTGTGCCAAGGTTATCACGGATTTGCTAAGCCCCACCACGTTGCCAGAGAACTGCAGGATATCCAATATCGAGGTATGCTTGCCTGATGGGCCAACTGATGAGTTGTCGTTTATGGGTAAAGCAAAAAGATCAGATGGTAGCTTTGAGGGCTTCACTAGGTACTACGACGGGAAAAGTTGGTCCTGGAAATCCAAGCATGATTAGCCTTGTAAGATCATGCCAGCACAAGGTGTCTTCATAGTCAGAGTAGGAAGAAACGACGTATCTGAAGGTCAAAGCAATGCTTCTTGGGTGTGTCTATTATAGTGTATTAGTACTACAGAATCTCGCAAAATATCTCGTATACTGTTAGATACCGAACAGTGATGTTTCCAGGCTTCTGAGCCGTAAATTGGAAGCGGAGGTTTTGTATTGTACAGTCGACAAAGAGAATCTTGTTTGCAATCTATGATGAGCTAAGGTATCAAACTAAAATTCTGTTCCCCAGTGGTATAATGCTCGCTATATCGCTTTGAAAAAAATTCCCCACATGTCTGCCATAGACAATTTCATCTGTATGTTTCTCATATGCGTCCAGCACATATTCAAATACAAAAATAAATCAGGGCCGTGCCATCGTTTCTCATACATCAGCCTATGAATGCTCTTAAGCCAATCATGCCAGTTACCAAACTGCCAAAACAGCCGCCAACATGGCGGTCCAGAGCAGCAGCCTGGTAGGGAAAACGGAGCTGGCGAAGCTGCCCTTCTGGCCCTTTGCAAAACCTCGCTCATCACCTCCCAGGTACAATGCGCCAAGCTCAGTCAGGCCTCCGTCATTGTCAAACAGCGACACATCGTCGCCAGTCCACTCGTTTGCCTCATTCTTGCGGAAGGCGCCAAACCACGCATAGCCTTCAACGTAGTCGGCATCATCCAAAAACGTCAGACTTTGGTTCATCATGGCGAGAGTGGCATCCGAGTCCTGCTTTGGCAGGGCCATCTCCGTGATCCAGAACTTGAGATCCGGCGAAGTCTCGTTGTAAAAGTCCCGCAGTGATCCCAACCAGTTCTGGAGACCGATTGCGTCACCGTACCAGTGCACTGCGACAAAGTCCGTAGGGCAACCGTTGTCGTCAATGTCGTAGCAAGACTCGTTGAATTTGCGCAGCCACTCTAGGCCCTGTGGAGATCCGGTGACGACAGGATGGCTGATGTTCCATCTTCTGGAATCAGAATCGCGGAGCGGGATGATGTTTTCAATGTAGGCCTTTGCCGCGTCTTCCGGGTCAATGTTACTGCCTCCAGACCCGGTGCTACCATCTGGCTCGTTGAAAGTCAAGAGGTGGGTGGAGGACTCGGGAAGGCGATTGAGACGAGGCCTAAGCTCGGCATCTTTGGCGTCGTCAACACCGTGAATAAGAGGAAGGAAAGCAATTGAGTTGTTGAGGCCTTGAGCTGGCCATGATGACCAGGTGTAATACCAGCTGATGAGTGAATTTTCCGAAGTCAGGAGTTGATTATCGGATTCGTGGTCGTCACCGTGATATGCCAAACCACGCTTCGAATGAAGGTCGGACTGTGCAAGGACTGTACTGACAGCCAGCGAAGCTAGCAGTAGATAACTTGCTCGGCCCATGCTTGCAAGTGATTCTCCTTTCCCGGGATGACTCTAGTAACGGTGGAGGTGACCCTTGTGCGATCAATGTAAGGTACAGGCACGAGATCGGATGCAACCGAGGAGGGTTCTTTTGGAGACTGGTTATAGCCCATAAAAGGTGCTATTTGGTAACCAGCGAACATATTATATCATATATGAAATATCCAACGATGAACCTAAACCGGCTTCCAAAATGATCCTCCTCTAAGCTCGTTCATTGACTGCATTCGATGCCATCACACTCTTGGCGGGGGCGAGAAGTAAATGACGTCATCTTCACCTTGGCCACTCAAGTTCCTGGTTGGCGATAGCTTAGCCAAGGCAAACCCCCTTGTAAGCCACACCGCAAGAGCGTAAACACAACAAGCGATAGGGTAAACAGGGGACCAAACCAGAGTCGTCATGAACGTTGGTTTTAGAGCCGTGTCTCGCGAGTGGTGCCACATTGCGAAGGTGGTCACAAAGTGGACATTCTGCCAAGTTGCACAAGCCCCGACTTAACCCATTACCAAGGTCATTCATATGAGTCAAATATCAAGCTTGGGTTTTCTTTTTGCTATTGGTTGTGATGCTGAACTGTAAGTCGAGTCCTTTACTAACGGTACGGGTTATATGTTTGTGCATGTAGGAATTGAGTCTCGGGATCCTTTATGAGAAGGCCGAAATGTCCTCCTGAAGAGTGGTACGGTCGGCCCATCCATGCCGGGTACACCTTCGGCCACTGAGCAATATTTTAACTGAAAATCTAAACGACTGAGGCGGCTCTCAGGGATGATCTGGTATACTTAAAATAATTTAAGTTTCTCTTCTATACAGTATCAAACAGCTACGATGACTTCCAGAAATGCCTGATGACACGCAAGTCATAATGGACCTCGATTAACGCATTTGAGGCGGTAATGTCCCCTGCTACTCGATGCTCACTCAGGACGCATTTATAATGGTAAAATCTACTCCAATATATTATGAAGTGACATCGGGGCAGTTCATTTTCTGAAGGCAAACTTGGCCAAGCCTAAAGTATGATGCTTGTGCGTTGCAGGGCTGACAGCTAGCCAACATAGCACCGGTGGTTCCTCATACACTCAACCACTGGCTTGCGACTCAGCGCATGGCTTCCATTGCATGTTCAGGTAAAGCTTGACGACATCATCATCAATGACCAACGGCGGCGTTCCAACAGCCAAGCGTGCTGGAACATACGCCACAGCGCCCGGCTCTAGTTCGCTGCGGCGAGTAACCTGGACATCAGCCAAAGTCCGGATCGTAACTGTCCAATTCCCAGGTTCTTCATCACTCAGCCGGCACGGCGACGTCCAGATTTGAGGGTCTAACCCGAGAGCTGGCGCCTGGATATACCCATCAAAGTCGCCTTCCCGCGCAAGGTCTGGCAGAACAAATTCAGCTACAGACTTCAAGCCACCAGTCAGTGTCGAACAGTCAAGAATTTTCTTCGCATGTCTTACCGGAAAAGTAGTAAACACAGTGGTCTTGAACCGGAAGAGTTTGGTGGCTTTCGGCAGCTTGAGGTGACCTCGGAGTGTCGCGTCCGTGATAGCCATGGAGTACCCTACCGGCCAGTCTTCATAACTAAGCACAGCTTCGCATACTCCATGCCCAGCGATAGGTGTGACAGTGGAGATGTTGAACAGCTGAAAGTCGATGTTTCCCGTGTCAATGTCTGCCGTGTTAGACGAGCAATCGCCCGAGAATGTAACGTTTCGCAAGGTAGGTTGGCTGGCCAGTTGTACGCCAGAAGCTGCAGCAAGAACAACCTGGGAGAGTCGCATCCCCAAGATTAAGTAGTAAGTTATTAGACTGTTCATTGTATGAGATAAATGGCAGTACGTTGTTGCTTTAGAAAGTTCCGGGACAAGGTATCAGACACCTGCGACTCGGGGGATTCCTAACTTTATAACGGCACCATCCTTTCCAGTATGAGCTGATTCTACTCTCTAAAACTTTTTTTGTTTGACCCATGGTTCTCCATCAGCTCACTAACTTGTTATGGCTGTATAACCAATAGGGCGTTGACGTCAGAGTTTATCCGGCTTTTGCCTGATGAATAGTTAAACGAAGGCTTTAGAGAGTTCAGGCCACAATGTGCAACGCGGATGATTCGTTCCGTTTCGTTTCGAGGCAGTAAGATTGAGAGATAATTGGAAATCACATTTCCCAGGGTACACTCACATTTGTTGTTATTTACTTCATATTTGACCCCTCAAAGTGGACAGAATCTACATGCGAAAGACTTTGTTCTGGTTGTCGTACGGTGCATAAAAGGTCTGTCTGCGTTTGACCGACTAAGTTATATGAGGCCATAATTGGACTCAGACCGGTACATTGAGCCAAGGCACCAAAGCATTGGAGTCGCAGGAAAGCTCATGGCAGGCTGGTTCAGATGGAGACCCGCCGCGTTGTCACCACAGTAAATTGAATGCAACCCGAGGTCGAACTACTAGCCCAGTAAGTTAGGCCAACCAATTTGATTGAACTCTAGGTGACTTCAAAATAGAAATAGGGTTATTAAAGGCAGAGTGCAATGTATGTATGCGGTCCGATAAACGGGTGACTGGGTGAATTCACAGAGGCGTAGCTCTTTTGATGCATGAGAGCGGCACAGAAAGGTTGTTGTAAGAGACATGGTTCCGATGCTTGAAGCTGTGAAAGAAACGGTGCAGTATCCATTTGATTTCGAGGAAGAAGAAATTCTTCTTAATCTGAGACTATCGTCAGCTGACGGGTCATTTCTTTTGTTTCTGACCCCCCATCTGTTTTGCATGAAAGTCGCAAATCAGAGTTTCAAGAGAATATGAGACTAATAGAATCGATTCATAATTCTTAGCAGGCTTTTTTGTGAGAATCAAGCCATGAGCAATCGTAGAACAGATTACTCCATAAACTCCTGATACTTAGTGCATCATCCCACCTTGAGAGAAAGTGGAATATCGCGATAGGAGTGAGAAATTAGGCGAGTCGCGAGGCATGGGTTACTGAGCGACAAAAGATCTTGTAAAACCGAAAATATGACAGTATCTTTGCCATAGCATAGGGTTCCCTGAATGCTTGCGGTCGACGTGACCACATGTAGGTGGTGTTCAACACGAGTTGCAACATCTGGGTGCCCAAAACTGCAGGTGATTGTTCTTTTCTAAGTGTCTACACCCATGCCGCCTTTTGCTCTCCAGGTTCTCTATATATGGATATCTAGGCATCATTGGCATTGTCTTGGGGTTGATAGATTTTGGAGGCTTTTTTCTTTGGGAGTAATAGCTTTGGTTAGTAGGTAGTAACGTAAATAACGAGGCGGCTGTTCGGACATCCACATGTACCGAAAACAGAATCTCTACCAAAACGAGGTTGAAATGAGCTACTTGAATTTACTGTGAAAATCTATTTACAGCGGATTTGGTTGCCTAATCGCCGGCCTGCAGTGCAGGTGCAGGCGCAGTAGAGAGCATGATGTTTACGGCAGCCTGGCCCCCAGTGCCCACTCTTTAACCTATTTGGGAATTTATACCTCTTTCAGCGATCCCCATTTTCTTCGTATAGGTTTGAGTTCCATTGCCATGGAACCAGGCGCGTATTTTCTCATTGAAAGACTCTTTTTGCAGCATCTGGCGTATCTGAAATGCTAACTTGGGCAACGTGCAACCAAGTCTCTTTGACCTGAGTGAGTGAAAGATGATTGTCAGTGCCCACGGCTTGTGACTGTCCAGTATTATCCCAGGTATTCAATACCTTGAGAATTCTACAAATTCAGACGTAAAGAGACACGAGCTGCCAGCTACCCCAGATTAAGATCGGATATCGGGTCAACATTGTGCTTGGCAAGCAATGTATTTACCGGTATGAGAAATGTTTCTTATTGTAGATAGAGATTCCCGTTGAGTATTGGGATTATGATTGGGTCTTCCATTGCTAGAAAAGCCACAATGCGGGCCGTTCCAACGGTGCCGAAGAGCACTGCCATCCTTCCGTCCCCATCGCGGGGCCATGACATGGGGAGTAGACGCCCCACCTATGCATCCAGCTTGCGGCTGTCAAGTTACCAAGATAGCTTCGCCGTGGAACGATACAGCTGTGGCCCTGCTTGAATCCCTCAATTATGTTTCTGCCTATCGTATCCTATCATGGAAATAATGTGAGGTCATGAAGCTATATCCATGGTTCGGAGCCAGAGACTGAACCGAATTCCAAGTATAAGAAGCTCTCCTTGATGCCCTCGAAAGAACAAGAAATCACAACAATCAACACACAGCACCTTCACAACAGTTTACAGTCGCCTCTGGTTTTAACTTCTTCTCACAATCTACCCAAACCTCAAACACGCATCTTTCTTCAAAATGGTCTCCGTCAAGAACCTTGTTACCTTTCTCGCCATTGCCGCTACATCCTCTATGAAGGTCAGCGCTGCCTCGATCCCTCGGCAAACAGGATTGGAGTCCACGACCCAAACTTCTGCCGTTATAAACTCTCGCCAGGCCAGCACGGAAGACTACGACCGCGAGACGGCCTGGCTATCCGACGAAGGCCTCTGCCGCGTTTTCGGCAAGGGTGTTCCTACGTCAACAAAGCTCGACAACCTCAGAGGCACTTGCAACCCATACTGTCAGGCTTTGACGGGCACCTTCAACTCTGCCTGCGACGGAAGCGCGTTGATGAACTCAGACGGCGACATCGACGTGCAGTTCCCCATTTACAAGAGCCCAAGCGGCGACAGATACAGCTTCGCGGAATGCGACTGCATCGAAATCTCGCCTGAGCTCGAGCAGCTGTTTGCGGACAGCTTGACTGCTCTCTCTGCGGCGACCTGTAGCGTTTGGCTCTTTTCTGTCAAGCAAGTTGTTGAGAAGGGCACCTATGCCATTCCCGGCGGCAAGGGTAGTTTGAAAGTCATTAAGTACATGGCCAAGGTCCTTCGACAGATGATCAACTCTGGAAAGGGCAAGGATGAGTGGGCTTCTCTGGTGCGCAGCACTTGCGGAGACCAAGGTTACGAGATGTCTCAAAGTATCGAGAAAGCGTTTGATATCCTCCAGTACGCCCCGACTCTCTAATGGGATTTCAATGAAGACCGTTTGGGTGTTTTAGTCCATGTTTCCTGAACGCGACAATGTCAAGTTGTTAGTTGCGAGGACTTGGAGGAAAGGCATTACTTTTGGGCGTTTTGTCACTTTATTATTGTTGCGCTGTTAAGCTATTTAGAGGATGAAGAGTTTGATCATGCATTGCTGGAGTTTATCCGTGAACAGAAAGATTAATAATGCGACTGGTTTTAAAAGTAGCATAGGGCAATTGCGGCAACCCTTGTTTAAAATACCAAGCCTGCCGAAATAGAGAAGTTAAGAATGTGAGAATAGTTGTCTGTCTTACACCTTAAAATGACTTGCACTAGGTGAAATGCAACTCTGGATTGCCATCTCTCCTACAGTACCTGGGACTAGCAGACTAATGGCGAGTCAAATAATGACGCTAAACTTCTCAATGACAAACCCTGCTCATACGGATTTCACCCTCGATCATCCACTTTATTTTGGCCAAGTTCGTTGCTTTGATAAACATCATCTCTGTTTTGTTCTGGTCACTACGAATAATTCGGTCTCTTTACATGGCACCAAAGCCTCTTCCTTTAGTTATTGTCTTCAGGTATCATGAACACTTCGTTGGTTCGTCTCCGCAATGCATTCAAAGTCCAGTCAACCTCTGGAGAATGATCTTGTTGAGGCGGCAAACTGATTGACTAATTGATGTTGTTCGGCCAACTTAATCGCAAGCAGCACACCTTAGATTGGTCTTTTCAAACGCTAAACTCACTTGACGGCGTCAGATTAACCAAGAGCAAGTTTGTGTCCGCTGTGAGACCTTCACATGTATAACCACTTCAAGGTGTAGGGAAATGGAAACTAGCGGACGCATCTTTGTATCCTTTCCTAGTTAGAATCAGGGACCCCCGCGAAGCACCAGGCCTTACGATCTGTTGCTCGCTAGGTTGCCTCCATGTCTCAAATGTCCCCGAAACCCTCGAGGGTGATTCTGGATCAAGCTTCGCCCTAGATCAAAGTTTGACGGATAAATCTTCACGGGTATGTCCGGATTGTCCAGTCTTCACAAGCGTAAGTTTGCCGAAACAACAATGCCAAGGCTCTTCCTTCTCGGATAGCTTCATGGCTGCCTTTCCAACTCCCCTAGGTGGAGAATTCTGTGCTACCAAGGGGATAAGGAGGCTGGCGCAGCGACGCCAATGTCACGGAAAACATGACAGCTACCATAGCGATGTTGAATCGGAGGATTAGAGAGCATTTTCTCCGAGCGCAAGCCCCTTAGAATTGTCGGGTGCGGACAGTCTCTCAGAGCGCCGAAACCTATCCATGTCAGGGTAGCAGTACTACGTAGTAGCATGTATCAACTAATGGCATGGTAACATGCGCTCTTGACTCGTATCGCAGCGAAGGAAGGCCGCTTTCAAGGTGACGGAGTAGCCCGACAGTTAGCTTCCAAAGGCGACAAACTGTATTGCCCAGTGATGGAGGACCCTGGGACGCCATACGTGTCATGCACAAAAACCGTGTCGCTTGCATTTGCAAAAGTACGCTGGGGAGATTGATTTGGAGGGGGAAAAGAAAAAGAAGAGGAAGAGGAAGACGGGAAACCACTGAATTCAATGCAACAGCAATTTAACAGACACCTTCATCATGAACACCCGTCTGAACTTGATTTTAAGCTTAGACTCTGAACTGCAGGCCACATTGTATATAGATTGAGTCAATTTGGGACCGAATGCAAAGACGGGGAATTTAGATCGGTTGACTCGCGGGAGCATTTAAAGTTGCTTTTATTGTAAATTAACAGTGCCCACTTGGCTACAATCCCCCTTTTTTTCAAGTTAGTGAGGCCAAGCTTTTGTCCGAGTGCCTGCTCCGCCGACCAGGTAACAAATAAATTAAAAAAAGAGAAAAGCACCATGAATTGGGAAAAGGTTTGCCGCTTGCGATCACAATCTGAATGAACGAGGATAAGGAGGACAGAGCCTCACATATCGAAAAGCCTTACAGTTATTGACTTTCGCCCCATTCGTCCAACAGGCAAAGATGGGCAAAGATGATCAAACGGCACCCCAACACATGCCAAGAAATGATAAACAGGCAAAGTCGGTCCTCGGCACGAACAGAATCAGGAGAGGATGAGCGAGAGAGAGAGACTACCGGTTTGATAAGATCAATGCTTGTGAGGAGAAAGAGAGATCCTTCGACAATCAGTACCTAAGCCAACTGGTTACGAGGCGCAAAAAAGAAGACCATCCCTAACAGGATCAGGAGCAGAGGCCCAGGAGAGGTACGTTCGAATTTAATTAGGCGGGGATCGAGGTGGACTCAACCATGGATTAAAGGCTGGTTTGAGCTTTTCGCCTCGTCTGGCGAATGAATAATTAGGTTGCTTCGGTGCATCTAAGCCTATCAAACTGCACCATGGCGTTTACATGTTTGAACAAAAATGGTTCCGCGATACGTTTAGAGAAGCTTGAGACATTCAGTAGCTCGTTTGGTCTCTTCTTTTACTTCCAAAATTAAACTACGAGAGAGGGGGGAATACCGGAGTTTGTTTACAAGGCTGGCCTTTAGGACCGATTGGCGGGAGGATCACGAACGCCCCGTACAAGCCCCAAGCAGCCCCGTCACCAAGAAAAGACTGTAGAACAGCCTCAATGAGGGTTTCTCCAGGCGGTAGCGGCCCCGGATGAGGGCGGAGAAGGGTCATTCTGAAACTGTAGGACTCTCAACTCTGGCTAGTCGACGGCGATCAACCCTGGCCGAATCTGGTTCTCCTCCGGCCTCCACATTCTGGAAGGGTTTCCCCCCCTTACCTAACAGAGGAGATTGGAATCCGACCCGGCCGGGCCGCCCACATCGGCATCAAGGCTGCAGCGAATCGGGGGTCCGGGCAAGAGATACTATGGACTACCTAGTGGAAGAGATGGGGGCTGATGGTCGGGAGCAGGGAACCCCCCCAGTCAGAATCTTGTCGCACCAGTGGGCTTTCGGACCTCTTGGCACGGAGTCTGAAACCATGAAACACCAACACTGGGAAGTCTCATGTTTTCTTTACCCCTTTCAACGTCCAACTTGACTGGCTATGCTGGAACCCTCCGTCCAGACTCACACTTTTTAGGACTTGAACAGTATGGGAGGGCTGGGTTAGAGCAGCCCCAATGTGGACTTTGGTTCGTACCGCGCTTGTTGACGCAATGACAGACAGCGGCTGCACGGGCACAACAGCCATTACGACAGAACGTGACAAGGGGCGGAGAGACGAGACCAACCGATGGTTTGGGCTGCAAGGAATAGTCCAGACGACCCTGGTCGACCTACTAGCATCCTCGACAATCTGTTACTCTCTTTTACGTTATCCTGGCCAATACATACATACTTGGCCTACCACTCCCTTCGATCTCTGCATCGAATCTTGAGGAACGTCAACCCTTCTCAATCCCATCTTCCACCAAACACATTGGCAAAGATGATGTGAAGCTTGTTATTCGGCATTCAAGTTTTTCATCTTCTTTTTTGCCCCCCCTTCTCTTCACGGGCAGCGCCCTTATCTTCTTTTTTTTTCTCTTTCTACTTCGGTCTCTTCAGCTGTGCTGCTTCTGTCCGTCTCATGACGAACTAACCCATTTTTTCACCTTTTCTGGTCATTATTTTCTTCAAGCCGTCGATTCGGCCCAACCACCGCTTGCGGATTCATTTTATCGGATTTTTGGAAGCTTTGGACTGGAGATTTAGCAGGATGGAAGTGACACGGAATATTCTACGGAGGTAGGACGGCATAAAATCATAGGGGGATGCAGCATTGAACTCGCATGGCTGATTGATCATGCTAGGCGAATTGTGCGCCGTCCGCGCTATCAACGCGACGACTTGCGCATCGAGATTCGAGACGACTCATCTGACGACGAAGACTCACCCTCGCCCACAAACTCATCTTTCCCGCCCGGTGTCAGCAAGACTCACTCACCAAAGACGAAAACGGAGTCTCCCACGCTCCCTCCGCAACCCCCGCCGCCCGTCCTCAATCCCGCCAACCCTACTGATGTTGAGACGACGACCACGGCAACAAGTTCATCAAGTACGCAGTCCTTGGAGCCCACTTTCACGCCCAGTCAACCATTACGCGAACAACCTCGGCCAACTGCTCTCCCGCCTGTCCTCAGCACCACCGAGTCGTCCAGTAGCACCACGAGCTTCTCAACCCCCACTGCTCTCCCGAATAGCAGGTTCACAACTACTCTCGCGCCCATGCCGACTGGAGGTACGACGAAGGGTGGCAGTGAAGCCGGTCTAGGAAACGACAGGTCGTCAGATGTAGGTTGGACGCCTACAGCAATTGCATTTGGAACAATCGGTACGTTCATCTCCCTCCTTTGAAACTTTTGATGGCGCCGGACTCCCCTCCTGTATTTGAGAAAATGATGGCTAACATCAGACACAGCTATAGCGGCTTTGTTCCTGTGCATAGGATGGGGGCTTTGGTGGTTCATCAGGTATCGAAAACGTCGTCAAGCAAGACAAATGTATGATCGGTCAATGTCGCCAGGAAGCGCAATCTGGAACCCCGCATCCACCTTCTCGCCTCCGACCATGCCGTCACGCAGGGCGCCCTCCAGCATCATGGCCGAGCTCATGGGCGCCGCCTATGCCGCGGAGAACGGCAACGCCGGGTACGGCCCCGACCGGAACTCCCTCACGCCGCAGGGCTACCTCGACGAGAAGACGTACGACCCTTCGCGCCAGCTGCCCATCCTCGAGCCCGCGCCCGTCCACCAGCCCAACGTCCGCAACTCCATCGCCAGCTGGATCCGCCGCCACCACCCGCTCAAACTGAACCCCCTCTCCGGCCGCAGCAGCGTCTACTCTACTCGCACCATCGGCGCGAGCGCCCAGGACGTCAATGCCCCTCCCGTCCCCGCCGTCCCGGATACCTACAGATCGCCTAGCCAGCAAGCCGGCGATGCAGCGCCGCAAACTACAAATCGACAAGCGGTTTCCAGCAGGTATGGAACTGAGAACCAGTCAGAGTACGGCACCAACTCGATTCTGTCGCTGTATGAGAGCGCGCAGCGGGAGCAGCAGCAGCAGCAGCAGCAGCAGCAGCAGAAGCAGCCAGGACAACAACCCCCGGAGCCCCTCTGGTTGCAGACACCCTCGCCTCTAATGCACGGCGACCGCGGCGTCTCCATGGCGCCGACAGAGGCCTCCGCAAGAACCGAGAGTACCTGGCGCAGCTGGGGTGCCGGCGTGACGCAACCCCGCGAGCATGCGCCGCCGCCTCAGACGCCTCGACGGGGGTGGATTGAGAAGTGTATCAAGTTTGGAGGTTTGAAATAATGGTCTTTTTCTTTTGAAAAAAGTGAAGAATATTCGGCACAGTTGGGGGGGACGGCATGGGATCACGATTTTCGGCACCTTTGAAATGCCGACGGAGACCAGACCGGACCGCTGTTGCTCTGCACATGCTGCTCGCTCATTACATTGCGATACTACAAAGTCCATATCATACCTTTAGTGTTAAATGGTGTTTCAAGTGTGTATATTGAACAAACAAAAAATAAAGTACATAGATTGCATTGGCAACAATTCTTGGTCTGCTGAGCTTGTGACTATTCCTTGAATTAATTGCTGTTACAAGAGTATCCGCCCTAGAAGAAGGCCAGGATTGTAGTGGCAGATGAATGACGCCTGTCAACACAGGAATTAGTGACAGAGAGAACATCCAAGCCTGTAGTCCATCAACTCTTATACATGTGTTTGACGAAGAATGTCCGCTCTGCCAAAGCCAACTCGACACAACATGAAGCCAATCTACTTCGTATTAGCAATGCAAGAGCCCATGGTAGAGAACCTCTGCCCGCTCAACACAGCTCTTAGCTCACTCTCATACTCCTTATCCCAGGCCTCCTCAAGATGTACAGGCTCCCAGCCCAATCTATCTCTGGCAACTGTCCCCTTCGTCTTTCTGTGTCCACAGTAGCCCGTCTCCGCGACGGCAACATTCCCTGCCGTCGTCTCCGCAGCCTCCTCGATGCTGATCGTTCGGATCTCCTTCCTCTGCGGCCCTCCCTCCTTAGGCAGGTTGCCAGTCGCGAACGCAATATCCAGACACCTCTTCGGAATGTCAACTGTCAAAGTCCTACCCACTGTAGGGAAAATGATACCCTTCTTCCCCGTTGGAATATTCTCTCCTCCACGACGAACAATATCGAGCAAACAAAGAACATATAAATCAGCAAGGTCCGCGACATGGACCCAGTCAATTACGCCCGTGGCGTCACCCACAGTGATCCCGTACCCACGGTCGAGCACAAACGCCATCATGATTGGAATCATCAAACCTCCCCGTTGGAATAGCCCCGTCCCGGTGCCGAAGATACATGGAGACTGAATACTTGCCGCGTTGACCCCAAGCTCCTCCCCCGTACTGAGAACTACAAGCTCGGCGGCGCGCTGGGGGTACCAATCCAGTCGGTTCTCGGCCTCCTCGAAAGCAAACACCTCTTCAGATTTGGCGTCTTCGTACTCGGCGTCCGGGCGGGCGACGCCTGTTATGGGTTTGTCGGCGATGTTTGAGCATCCCGAGGTGTGAATCATCCATACCGGCGCCCCGGTCTGCAACTTACGCCTGGCAAGGCCGCGGACGAATGCCTCTGCGGACGCTGGGTGGAACCCGGAGCCAGCATTGATGACGATGTCGTGGTGCGAGGCAAGCGACGTTACCGTTTTGATATCATCGAGGGAGTCGAATTGCACCGGCTTTACTCGCCCGCCGTAGGTTTCGGTGAGCCTTTTTTGGCGGCTGCCATCCCCGCGGATAGGGAGTGTGATGGGGTTCAAGTCGAACTTCGAGGCCAGGAAGGGGTGGTTGAGGAGATGGTGAAGGACAGAACCACCGATATAGCCGGTTGCACCGATCAAGAGGATCTTGGGCTCGTAGGAAGACATTTTGGGCTTGAATCACTTTCTAACTTGAACTATCACGCTGAATCAACCATGAAGACCCCGTTCACAGATAAGTAGGTACTTCTGCCATGTCTTTGGTGAGTGGGATGAGCGGTTTACCCCCTCACCACCCACCTTGACCGCCTCCGCAGTCGAAAGAACCAACAACGGACAACGACAGGTGATGGGCAATCCTCCAAACCCAACCGAGCCAGTAAGTGGGTGTACCGACCGAAGATGTTGGTCCTCTCAGCACGGTTGTGACCGGGGTTCGCTCCCTTTTTCGAACGCGGTGTCGGTGTCTACCCCGGTCTCCATCACATGTTCCCTTCAATACCCACTTTCTGCATCGAAACGCTGAACGGAGTACAGCAGACTAAGGCCCGGCAAGTGGATAAGACACAGGGAAACTGCTTAGTGTTGACCAATTACGCCAATGTCGGGCGTTTCGTCATTGTGTCGTTAACGTGGAATAGGAGACGCGGTTAGCTCGTTGTTTGATGAACACAGTTCGCTTTCAGCGGTTCGTGGTTTTGTACCTCACATATTGTGAAGCGTGGACATGTCAGTTGATTGGCTCCAATTCCGAGGCCAATAGCAGCGCGAATTCGATAGATATACCACACTCAAGAAACAAAAACCTTTATTTGATCAACACTATCATAACACATTCCTTACAAGCCAATTTTTACCGCGAGATAATGTACAGCAACCTGAGTGGTCAAGCCCAGAATACCGGTGGCCGGAATCTTGTCATTGTCGGCCCGCCTCTTCCAGCCAAGTTCAAACGGAAGTCTCTCGTTCTCTGTAGAAACCATCAGCCAATCGCTCATACACGTAGTCTTCTTACATTAGAATACGAGGAACTCACCAAAGAAGTACTCAACCCAAGCCCTGTTTGCGTTTCCATTATCATAGTTGCCAAACAGACCGAGGTACATGGCCGTCTGTCCCAGCGAGTTGGTGTGTCCGTCAAGCGGCAACTTGAACTCGGGGTTCACCTTCTCCGCGCTCTTCTGCCTCGACGCAAGTGCCCTGGCGGCGTCGCTGATGGAAATCGTCTCGGAAGGCCAGTATGACTTGGTCTCGTCAAAGATGGTTTGGTTGAACGACCAGTTGTCACCAAAGTAGATGTCGGCGCGGCTGAGGGAGGCGTCGTGCTCGATGAGGTCGTGCTTGTTGAGATCGTTCAAGTGGAAGGTGTTTTTGTTGCCGGTTGAAGAGGCCTCGAGCGCCTTGTTGCCCTGGAGACGGAAGAAGAGCTTCGCATCCTCGCGGAGGTTGAGACCAGTGTGCATGCCCTCGATCAAGGCGTCGACGGAGATATCCTTGCCGTTGCGTGGCAGGTAGCCGTGGTTTGCGAGACTGTTGAGGAGAGGGCAGGGCGAACGACCTGGGGGTTGTCATTGTCAATTAGCTGCGTTTTTCACAAGAGATACAGCGGGACTTACGGTCATCCGCGCCTGGTGCTTGCCATGCATTTGCGGCATCCTGGCACAGCGCCGAGGTTGCGAAAAGAGCGAAAGAGAGGACGGTGGCGCGCATTGTAAACGAATGTAACAAACGAGAGACTGGTAGTTGGACTACAAAGAGCGAGTTGTTTACCAAAAGATCGAGGACAAGGCCACACGGTACGAGGGATTCAGAATCTAGATATGCTTTTCAATGATCGACGGAGTCTCCGATCTAGACGGGGATGTATACCCAATTGGGTGGGTAGCTATAGGCTGTTTATAGTTGTCCCACTATCACGAGTAGTCGCCGTTTTAAGTTTAAGGCTGGGCATCCAAGCAACCCACCTCTGTGTTGGGATGCGGGCATATTGTCACCTTCTATTAATGATTGAAAGTGCGCCTATTCCTTGCACACTTGCAGCATACAGAAGAGAGCCGAGATGACGCTAGCTGAAAGCTGTGCGTCCAGACCAAGTCGCAAATATCCAGAAATGACTTCAGAAGACCATTGTGATCGTTGCATTGGGCCATAAGTTGGAAGGAAAATGGAGAACTTTGAGTTCCCAGAGGAAAAACTGAAAATTTTCTGTAGATAATTGGCGCATCATGTAGTGCTCTGTCTGCCATCTCTCTAAGATGCACAAACCTGCAGATTTACCACATTTACGAATGAATGTTTTGCGGTTATCTCGTTCAAGAAACCACACCTATTGCGTTTTCTTTATAGAGTCTTAAAATCAAGGTAGTTTAAAAGGCCGAAGCTCCTAATAAGAAGATTACCACCTAGTTCAGCGTCAGACAGCATTCTTTCGCACACTTCTTCTGCCTGAAATTGCATTTTGTGCGTGAAACGTGATAACTCTGATAACACGCAGCATTTTCTTGAGTAATATGACGTTCTCTTAGGCGATCTCCTACTTGTTGAGGACTAAACATGTGGTTCGAACCCGGCACGTTTTTAAATGCCTGTGTGGTGTAACTCACAGCCTCAGCCGGTCTGTTCCAGCAATCCCTCGACTACATTAAACCACCGAACAAGTTATCATTCACCATCACGATCACACTGGTCCGTTATGTTTGACGGTCTAAGCGTCGCCGCCATGCCATACAATATCGATTTCTTTATATTCTTAATGCATCTGCCCAAAGCAACTCGACTAATGGCTCTTTCCAGACCACGCCCCGCAGGGGGTCAGAGCCAGACTAATAGCTGATTCCTTCAAGAGCCTTTGGAAACAGAGATTGGTTCAGAAAGTGCCGGTGTAACCAGGCGCACCACCCGAGACTACGGGGTATCCGAAGAGGGCAACCATGAATCTCTTGTATCTACAAACGGCGCGTTAATATCCTACGCTATCGACCCGCATTAAAATCCCACAAGCAAGACAAAGCTCTGTTTTGCGCGCTTCTTCATCAATAACACCAATGTTGACTATCAGATCTATTTACAAGCGTTCCATCTACGAACTGTGTCCTTAATTTATCGTCCGCAATGCCGCCAGAATGGGGACTCAAGTTGCTCAAGTAGACTATATGATTCTATAAATCGTCTGTTCAGTTCTTTGTGGTAGACGATATAGAAGGTCACATTGGTAACAGGCCCAAGTCTATATTTGATTGTGGTAGAAGGGTACTATTCAGCTTAAGCCTTCAATGGGATGACTACCCAAGATGCGTTTAGAACCAAGAGAGCAGGATTGCAATCGGTAGAAATTTTTGATTTGTAGGCTCAGGGGGATTCTGAAACCTTTGGTTCATTAAGGAAAAATGTAAATAATGAAGAATAATAGATTCTGATTTACTTCTGAAATCTAGATCGCATTTATATCTCAACGATAGTCTTGGTTTTAAGATACGGCAACAGCCAACCTTTCCGCTGTCCAAAAGAATGGGCTAACACAAACTCCGGTGACTAACAAGCATTATCAGGGTTGAAAGTCCTATCTGCATCATTTTCCAAAATATTAAACCACTTTAGGTCAGCATCTACCAAGTTGCACTTCCAATCGTCATGCGATCCCATCATATCACACATCGCCCCTTCCATATCAACAAAGTTACAGCTGAAGCCCAGCGTAGAGCAGCAGCAGCGCTAACCCAAACTGGCTTCGACAATCCGGGGAGCCCGAGCGCGGACCCCTACCGCCCAACGGTCGAAAACGCACAACGCGGCCGATGCGGTTGAACCGGACCCCGTGTCGCTGGAAATTGCTCCCCCAATTTAAAATTGAGTGGGGTGGGCATGCCCGGGGGGCCCTTTGCCCAACGAAAGGGCTCCAATTGGAAATGCCTTGATTAAGTGTACCCATCACCTGCTATATTCGGCTCTTATGCTTGTCGATATAGAGGTGGCCGTTCGGATTTTTCACCTCACCGAAGAATGGTCGAGTCAAGTGCCTATCCACTGAGGGAACTTTGTCCGCTGTGGCTTAGAGGATTTCCTGCACGGCCAAGAGCTTGAGGGACCCCCCGAAGAGACCAAAGTCCGTCGCCGAGACTTCCCCTGAATGGATTGCCCGCTTCCTTTGGTAGGCTCGTGGCGCAGGTTCTGCGTGCTTTGAACTTGCGAATATGATCGTGTTACGGCTATGGAAATGATTCCCGACTTTCCGCCGGTGTTTTCGCATCTTTTACATTATATTTTATCTACTCCAAGCTCGGTTTTGACAACATGGAGAAAAGTGTGTCGAGTCACTGCAGAGTTGTGATCAAAATATTCAATTCGAATTAACAGATTTAACAAAATTTAAAAATTTTCGGCTTACATTCGATCACATGAAGCGCCTTGACCTTTACGTTCACGATTGGCTGATGTCTGACAAAATGAGCGCAACACAAGGCCATAAGCCGGTACAACAGATCAAAGAGCGACAGGTTGATTCATTAAAAAGCTAGAAAACAGTGCAAATGGCTGCGGCTAGTGTCTTTCTCTGACAATTACCACACTGCTGCTGTCCCACGACGAACGTTGCCACGACATTGTTGTCCACATAATTCAACACTTTTACGCATGCCCCTGGCAACTAGATCAACCCCACCACTTCCTCTTTAATAACGGTTCACATGACGGAGCATCCAACATTAGTCGGATCCTCCGAAAGTTTCGACCTCTTCTTTAGCATCTCCGACACAGGCACCAACTTATCCCAGTATACAAAGTTCATGAACCCGCATCTGGGATGCTGAAATTCCTCGGCCATCACCTGCAGGCATTCCTCATCCTGTTCAATCAAAGCCAACGTGACGAGTCCCATCCTTTTCGCTCTACTCCATTGTCGCTCCTTCTCGTATACACGTACGTACAACGGATTGCGCAAAAGCGTCAGTTGTTGCTCAAACTGCATGAATTGCATAAAGAACCGCATGGTAATAGAGATGTAGTTGACACCGGAAATTGGGACATCACCACATACATCGTTGTGGATGTCCGCCTTAACGCATCCCAGTATGTCGCTCCCTGTCAAATGGATTCCCGTATCTTGTACTTTGCCATTCCTGCGCCTGAAACTCTCATTAGAAAAGATATTATACCCATCCTTTTCAAACTGAGCCTTGGTTGCAGCCTGTGCTTTTGCGAGTTGGCCGTGGTCCGCTTGCTTCATCGCTACAAGCTGGTTCGTCATCAAGATGATCTCTTCCTCAGAAACTCCCCGATCCCTCAGCCGACGAACCAAGTCGGTATTTTGAAGCCGCTTTATGCCGGTCGCAGGGTCAGTAACACGCTTTGTTTGGCTGATACGTATGAGTCCAAGAACCGAGAAGGGGTCTAAATCAAAATCAGGTATACGATCTAGATCCCAACCGGCATCGCGGTATAACAGCAAGTTTGACTTCTTTTTGAAGTTATCATTTGCTTGAACATCCAGCATTGAATGGACACCGGGCTCTCGATGTGCTGATGCCGGGGCATCAAAACGAGTGCTTCGTGAACTGAATTTGGCATTTCGTATTCTGTCGGATAGTGCAGTGTGGAAGTTGGATGTTGGGGCTTCACTGTCCACAAAAAAGCCTCTGGATAAGACCTCCTGCAAGCTGGCATACAGTCCCACGGGCTCGGCTATATATCCTTTTTGGACGAGCATGTTGTGGAGGTGAATCAGCATGGTGGGCTCAGGTAAGGCTTCCCACAGGAACATTGCTGCGCGGTAACTCAACTCCAATCCCTCCATAAGGCCGACACCGCAAAGAAAAGGCGAGTATTCCCATAAACCGTTGGCGTCAGAATTTGAAAACCGGGAAGGAGGAATCATGTTCAAGCCATACATGTATTTACTCTCCCCAAGCCAGTTGATGAAATCGAACTGAATAGCCTCGAGGACACCCCAGAGAGCATTGTGACGCGTAGGTTCTCCATTGAGGCAAGCGTCCTCCTCAAGCAACTGTTTGAGAATATCCACAGCTTGCAAATATCCGAATTCTTTGTTGTTGTTTCGATCTAGGAACTCGTCGACGTCTCTTCTTGGTCGAAATTCCCTTGCTGGTTGTTCCAAAACATGACCCCTTAGGAGATTGAATGACCAGCCACGCGATACTGTAAACGCATCAACGATACACTGAAGATGGAAGACATGATGGGGGAGAATCTTTTGACGAATGTCTGTGCCGGGCTTTTGCATTGCCAGTGTCGTAACGAAAGAAGCGAATTCGTTGATTCCGAAAATCATACGGTGCTGCCTCCAGGGACCGTGAGTTGACCAGTCGACATTTTCTAGAACATGGCGCTCTCCTTTTACGCGGATACGTTGTATGACAACACTTGAAAATACGTTGACCAAATCGTAAAGCCAGTTTATTGTGTAGGACCGGCGCCATTTCAACCTCTGCTCTCGAGTGGCACGCTGCACATTGAACCTCGGGTCCCAGTTACCGATTTCGGCTAGCATGGCTTTGGTTGGTTTTCCGCTTCTGGTCTTTTGATAGTCTGTGATGAAAGCAATGAGATCATCGTAAGCGTTGATCAAAACATGTTCCTTGACGTCTATGCTGGTTTCCTGCAGTTTCTCAGGCACACCAGTCGGTCCCTCCACGTGGAGAGCTACCGTGAAGTTATTTGCGACCTTTTCGATGTTTCCTCGTGTTATGGTCTGCATCAAGGTCTCGTAGGAATCGTGACCTGGGAAATCGAGGAAAATGGCCGTCTCCGACTTTTTAACCATGCCAATGGCAAGGTTTGACAAGGTTCCGGCAACAGCGCTGTTAAATCCCTGGTAGGCGACATCGTGCCAGATAGTTTGGAGATAGTTCCGCAAGTCGCCCCATTCCTTGGCGATGGAGTACGCAGCCATCAGATACTCGGTCATTATACCATCTTCGTCTTGGATGATGCGGTAGCTCTCTAGAGGCACTTCTTCCAAATTCTGTAGCTTGGCTGGGGTATCTTTCTGCTTCTTTTTTGCCTTGGTCTTGCTTCCCTTCTTTCCCTTCTTTCCCTTGCCAGGCTTGCGCTTGGTTCTTCTCTGTGGGACAGTTGAGAGGGCGGTTGCATTGTCGGATGCTTCATCAGAGGAACCATCGCCTTCGTCTGTGTCGACCTTGAGGGCAGAAAACTTGTTATTCAAGATGGTATCTTCAATATCGATTTCGTCCGAGTCATGCCCCGCCTCCTCTCTCGACACCCAGGCGTCTCCGCCTAGGGCTTTGAAGGCCGTGGTAAGAGCGTCAATGAAATATTTATGACTGGCGTTGCTCCTTTCAATCTCGGGACTGGGCTTCGCTTCAGCGAATTGCTGGAATTCAGCATAATGAGCCGATCTCGCAGAGATGACGGACTGCAGTAGCTGGAGAATAGCAGACGGAACAGGGTTGATGTGGTTTCCGATCAGCTCCGCCATGGCCAATAGGCCAGCAACAGTAGTTTGACCGGTTGTATTGAGAGCAGGTCGGGATAAAGATTCACCTTCAGAGTCGATTGGAAGAGTCTTGATAATTGAATTCGATGCGTGAGCCATCCAATAGAGCAGGTGTTTTGTGTCTCGTTTGTAGACGAGATAAGAGTTATGGGGGGCCATGTCGCTCGAATTTATGAGGCGACAGTAGACCTAGAGGTCTTGTTAGGCTCCGGCTTGGTCTTATGGGTTCGATACTGGCGTTTACCGCGCTCGTCATACGTTGTCTCTGTCTCTAACCAGATGAATTATCAGCGCAGGACTATCGCCGACGATGTTGTTGAGGTGAATCTTTTTACCAAGGTGAGGGGTAATGGTTGAGGAAAAAGCAAGAAAGTACAGGCGGTGCCCGAGTGACCTTAGCGTTTCGCACCTTCCACCAAAAATGTGGGTGGCAGGCCTCGCCGGCCCGTCACGTGGGCTGACGGCCGCCACCACTGGTCTTAGCCAGCCTCCACAGCCCTCTAGCTAGTTAGTTAGTTCTTCAACCAACAACACCACTTTTCCCATTCTGAGCGTTCTGTGCTGGTTTCGCCTATAGGTTGTGAGCCTAGCGTTATTCTTTCGGAATAACGTCGTTTTACCTATTATTCTACTCGTCTGTCAATTTTCTATTGATTCACGAATTTTTGCGATTTTATTTGCTTTATTTACCTTTCTATGCGATTTTCTTGCTTTCTTTCCTCTTCGCTAACGAATTTTACTTTCTGACGCGATATTAGCTGCCTAGCGCGCACGAATATCATATAGCATATAACCGACTACTATAACCTATTAGTTTTTATAAATACTATAGAATTTTATTATAATAATAGACTTTTTAGTTATAACTATAACGTACATGATAAGCGAGTGAGACAGACAAGCGAGTGAGACAGTAAACCAGACCTTCGCGACAATAATATCGAAATCTATAACAAGAAATCTTAGATTGATTAATACTACTCGGATTCCTGTTCTTCGGATGTTTCCTCAATAAATTGACATGTTCTCGCGTTGTGGCCTGTATTCCCGCATACGCCACACCGACGATGAGTCGTCTCAGACCTCACTTTGCGACCACTACTCCGTCGCGTTTCCTCTTGTAGTTGCGTGTCTGCCTCTCTTTGCGACTGTATATCCTCTCCAGTAGATATAGTAAGACTTCCTCCTTTCTGTAGACGTGTTTTCTTAGCCCTTCGACGCCGACTTAATATTGCATTCTCCTCTCGAAGGATTTGAACCTCTGACTCTAGTAATGCTACCCGATGCCCTAGTCCTTCTGTCCCTCTGGCTAGCTTACTTACAGTACTATAAATTGATGCTGGAGAGCTGCTTCGGTGGCGTGAGATTCGACTCTTAATAAAAGTAGACTGTGATCTTGCTTCGCTTGGGTTGCTCGGCGTCCTAGAGATCCAAGGGTCTGGTGTCTGAGGGACCCCCTCCTCAGGCGTTGGCGTTCGGAACTTTACATCCAGCTTTGAGAGAACACTTTCTGCATTCAAAGGGACAAGTCCAGCTCCTCGGAAACCTCCCTGGATATTTTTCCTCGTAAAAGACTGCTTAAAAGCTTCGTGAAATGCTGCAAAGAAATCTTCCTTCGAGATATGGGTTGTGCCTCGCCGCATCTTATTCTCAATTTGCCGACCGTAGGCATTCTTTAACGGCTGAAAACAACCAACATCTAAGGGTTGAAGTAGATGAGACGAGTGAGCCGGCATGCACAGTGTAATAATGTTGTTTTCTTGACAAAAGAGCTCGAAGGCTGCGGAGTGGTGACTTTCATGACCATCAACAACGAGGAGGCGATATTTCCCAGACGTACGTGGTTTTGTATAAATGTCGAAGTGTCTGATCCAGTCAATACCTCTCTCGTTTGTTGTCCATCCATTTTCAGACGTTGCAATAGCCCAATCGCCCGGAAGAGAGGTTTCTGTATACCAGCTTGAGAGGTGATACTGGCCTGCAACGATGATGTATGGCGGGATGCTCTCCCCTTGGGAATTAATAGCCTGGATAACTGTAACCCATTCCCTATTGCCAGGCTGTGTCATCTTCGTATTTGAACGCCTTTCAGCACTTGTAACAACCATTCCAGAAGCAATAACGCCCATCATAAAGCCGGTCTCATCAAAGTTGTAGATATCAGCATCAGCAATACCATACTTCGCAATTGTATTCTTCACAAGCGAAAACCAGCCACGAATCACCTCTGGATCTTCGCATTGAGCTCTCTTATAGTCATACTTGCGAAAGAAACGCGTCCTAAGCTGTGGTTGTCGCTTGACGAAATTAGAAGCCCAGCGCTTCCCAACTGGAGGCGCGTCGCGCTCTGCGAGAAGTCGATTGGCCATTTCTTCCACACCACTCAGCCGGGGAGGAAATGATCGCGCATCTAGGTCGAGAATATACTCAACTATTGTCTTCTCTTCTAAATCTGATAAATTCCGTGAATTAGGCATGCTGTCGCGTCGTGAGACTATTCCCTTTAGTCGCCGGCTTAATGTTGCGTGACTGACTGTATAGAGTGCACCTGCGGCCCGAGCACTAAGTTTTGGGTCATTTCTCATTGCTTGAAGGGCAATTTGTAACCTTCTTTCAATACTAGCTGATTCCATGATTTATTGTAGAGGAAAAGGTGCCGGTCGCGTCAAGGTGCGACGGTCGCGGTTTACTGTCTCACTCGCTTGTCTGTCTCACTCGCTTATCATGTACGTTATTATAACTATATTTTTACTTCGATTTCCTCGTTCTTATAAGAATTTAATTATTTTTAGCTTTAGTTTTTCAAACTAGCTTATTGTTACGACCCGTAAACAAGGATAACAGCCGAACGACCCACTTGGGCGTCGGGCGGCTAGGACAGGACATTTGTACTACATGATTGATTGATTTATTCCTACTCGGTTATGAAGCCGCTCTTATGCCAGCAGCTATGCCCGGAAAGCGGGGTTTGGCAGGTAGCCGAAGCGTCGACAATGAACAGCGACGCCCCACTTCGCCCTGATGTTGCATCAGGGCCAGCTATCCCCAAGCTCCCCACTATGTTCTCTATTCTGTGTGTTTGTGCCCTCTGTTGAAGAAGTGTGTTGCTCTCCTGTCTGCTTTCTCGCTTTTGTGTTGCTCTCTAGAATGCTTGTTTTGCGTCCTCCTGCTTCGGTTCAGTTGGTGCTGGTAGCACCGTACCTGGTTCTTTGTACCTACAGTCTCCCCCCAGCGCTCAGCTTTGTCTCTTTGTTTTGTCCGTATCCTCCCGGACTTGTATGTGCCGTTTTCTCAGTTGCATCTGTAAATTCTTTGTTGCCTCCTGCCGGGTTCCTATGTGGCCTCTTGTTTCTTGCCTGTTGACCACTATTGCCCTCCACCACATTGGCCCAAGGGTCTTCCACGAAGCACAATGCTCCACTGACTCCGACATGTTCGATTACTGGGTATGAGAGCTCCCGCACAGATTCCGCAGACATTGTCGCGCGTTGAAGGGACACCAATCCTTCTTCGCAAAAGGGGCGACAGGGGACCAGTCTGTCTGTGGTCTGTAGTATTGTGTGGCATCGATCGTAGCATGCCTAATGCCTGGTGCTTTCTCCGTGCGGAAGGTGATACTGTTCTGTCGGACTCATCTTCGTCGTTGTGGGACGTTGCAAACTTTGTCGGGGGTGACAGGTGACCCAAAACCTGTCGGCGGCTGTTGTGTTGAAGTTGATTGTTTGGGCGCAGTCTTAGTGCTTCGTGTAGCGGCTTGTGGCTCGCCTGTGGTGGTGGTAACAGTGTTGTCTATTGATATGTCGTATTTTGCGGCTTGCTCTCAAGTTTTTCATTGTAGTCGGGGCGTGCTCTGCGGCCATCTTGGGCCCCTTTGGGACGTAGAATCAAGGCCGAGGATGGCATTGCATCGAAGGGGGCTCTGTGGCCGCGAGCACGCGTATTTGGGGCCGTTTTTGCTCCGATTTTCAAAAATTTCGTTCTCGCTGTTGTTGATGTTTTTCACATTTGTACTACAGGATCACGGGAACAGCGGGAACTCACTCGGCACGGAAGAACTATGGTACAAGTCACGTGACGATAAGATAAGGAAACGATCGGTGGAGCACAGGACGGGACGCTCAGTGATCAGTTGGCATTGCCAACTGATCGCGATCACCTCATGCACCTAGGTGATCACCCCCAGGTAGACAAAGAACACTGTTCAGGACTTGTATATAGTATGACCTGAGCCTGGCTCAAGGTCAGACTTCCATAGCTCTTCAGCAATCAACTTAGTATTCATCCTCAGGATACTCTCAGCTTACCTTCACTGCGAATTACTTGTTGAGTCTAAGACTGATCACCTTAGCCTCTGAAGACCGATCTACTATCAGTCTACGACCTACGACCTAACCACGACCCCAGTGTACTGTTACTATGTGTCAATCCCCAGCTTCTGTTAGCAGACCCTACTGTTGGATAGCTGACCGTAACACTTATTAGTTTCTTATATCTTCTATAAATATTTATTCTTCCTTTCGATTTACTATATTTCTACGGTCGGATCTTATAATTCTACTTATTTCTCGTATTCTTACGTAAGATTCTCCTTCTTATATAATATTTATACTTCTTTAATACTATTTACTTATTAATACTTTCCCTTTCTAATAGCACGCGTAGGTAGTAGCGAAAGTAAGCTATCTAACGTATAGATACGCTTCTAAAGCTATAGCCTTAGAGAAACGCTTATAATCAAGGTACGACTATAAGTCTATCCCGTACTATTATAATACCCTTATTTTTTACTTTAAGATGTCTTAAAACGACTTTAAGACCGTCTTTACGCTTCTTCCTTGCTTAAAAGGTAAATCTAACTAGAATATATAGCATATGCTTATTATAGCGACCTTGCAAGGATACGACTTCGAGATATTCCTCGAGACTAACGTCCCTCGCCTTGCTAACCTTATCGCTATAGAGGAATAGAGAAAGAACCGTAACGTTACGTATAGTCTCCTTATAAACGCTAGCGAATCGGTTCTTAATAGACTTTATATAGCAGGTTAGGTTAACGATAGAAACCCTTACGAATTATAGCAAGCGCTTAAGAAGTATATTCCGAGAATCTTACAAGACGCTATAGCTACCCTTATTAACAAGTTTGCTAAGACTACCGCTAACGATTATAAGACTTTTTACGATGCTTTTAATCGCTATTACTACCTTAGAAAGCGTATTAAGACTATTTACGGTCGTCTACTAGACTCCTTCCTTACTATTTTCCTCCTTAACTTCTTTAAAAACCGACTTCCCGATACGTATAAGTATTTTATATCGAAAGGCGCTACCTATCCTACGTAGAATAAGGTAGCTAATACGATTTATATACTTGCTTAAGACGAGGATTAAAAGCATAGTTATGCTACTATTCGTAATATACCTAGAGGCAAGTCTGCTAGCAGTAGGGGTCTTGCCTTTCTAGCCGTTACTACTACCGTTACCTCTACTATTACTACCTCTAAGGAAAAGAAGAAGTACGACTACTATAACTATAATTACGAGACTACGAAGTACTATGTCGCCTACCTTAATCTTATCCTTCTATACTATATTAACTAGGATAAGTTAATTAAAAAAGCGAGAAAGTATATATATAGCGATCGCTACCGCTAGGATTAGCCTACTTCTATTAATAATACCTACTAGACTATTATCAAAGCGTTACCTACTATCTTAGGTTAGTCTGCCCTTGCTTCTATCGCTAGCCTAGTAGTTTTTACTACTACCTACGATAACCTTATTACCCGAGACGATATCGTTCTCGATTCTAGTTATACTACTTTAACTTTTAATAACTTACGATATTTCGTTAAGTATGTTAAAAAGAGCGATTTAATACCTTCTACTTCTGCTTCCGGCGCCTTAGTCTAGTTACTTAGCATAGGTACCGTCTTCTTCTAGACCTAAGACCTTACTAACCCTAACGTTATTTACGATTAGATACTTTATAACGTTAAGTATAACCCTTCTAGCCTAGCTAACTTACTAAGCCTTAGAAAACTTCGTCGTAATTACGTAGAATATAATTAGCAAACCTTAAGCCTTATATACGTAACATAGCATACTTCCCTTGCTAAAGTTTATTAGGTTTCTAACGTCTATATCGTTAAGACTTATAATACTAGAAATTACGTACTTCGAGATATTACTATTAGCTTTGCCGCCTTCCAGGCTACCTAGCAACCGTCTTTTAAACTAATATACCGCCGGCTAGTTTACGCCTACCTATTACGTATTATAAAGGCTTGCTACCGTGTTAGCATTCGGTTTATAACGTCGGAAATTAACGCCTTTTTCTATAAGTCTTACTATCTTAGCAAATCTACTAAACGGATTAGTCAAGACTAACTACTTCTACTTACGAGTATTAGCAATGAAATTTACCTTGATCTCGTTAGTATTCTTCCCTTATTAATAAAAGGGAACCGTTAGGTTTTATACCTTATAGATAAGTATAGTAGTTACTACTAGGTTGTTTTTCTACCTAACTATAAGTTTGCTACTATCCTAGCAGCTATTAAGAAATAGGATACTAAATTCTATAGTCTTACTAGCCTTAAGCCTAAGGTTTAGGTTTCTAACAATACTCCCGAGCTAATTAAGGTTTTTAATAACCCTTACTTCGAAGGTACTTATTATAATATGTTGGAACGGTAGGTAGGAATCTTGTAGATAGTACGATATCCTTATAACAGGGTATTAGAGTAAGGGAACTTGTACTTATGAAGTAGGGCTTTAATAGTAAAGAATGTATAGGCTTATATTGAAGCTGAGTTGGTTGAGGAACTAATAGCTAGCTAAGGGAGAGAATTAGGCTAGTTATATAGTAGTATAACGTCGCCTATAATAGCTAATATAGGAAGCTATAAGCTAGGTTTAGTATACGTAAGTATATACGTCAACTAGCTTATAAAGCAGCTTATAAATCAGACTAGAATCTTCTTTAACTAAATAGACTTTTAGATAAGGTTAAAGAGAGTATTCCATAGGGATCTGAATGTCATATGTTTAAACTAGCAAGCAGCCATTCTTAGCTAGTTACTTTTGTAAGTCCTACTAAGTCTTAGATAAGACTAAATAGGATAAATAAGTAAAATAGAAGTATAATATACTTATACTTCTAACATAATACGACTATTACTTATATGCTTTTTATAAATAGTATTATTAAGCATGCTAGTCGTACTATCGTCGAAAGCGCCTAGATATAGCTAATTAATATATCCCTTCTAGAAGAACTATAGGATTATAGTATCGATTCGGTAACTTAGATTCTTAACCTCTTGCCTATACCTTCTAAAGGTAACTTAAGCCTTTACGAGATTATAGCGAGAGAGCTAAACTTAGCTGCTAAACGTAAGGCCCCCTATATTAAATATCTCCGAACGTTTAGCTATGCTGCCTACGTATATAAGAAGGGCCTTCGACGCCCTATACGCTTTGCTAAGATAGAACTATAAGCAATCAAGGGATTCCTCGTCGGTTACGGTTCTCTTCGTAGCTATATTTACTACGTTTACCTACCTAATCGAAAGGAGGTTATTCGCTATAGAGATATTCGATTTCGTAAGGAACCGTATAAGATAGTATTGCCTCTAACTACTAGCATACCTAATATTAATAAAATTAAACATAATACTATGTTTATTAAACTAGATATTATTATCTAGTATACTATCTATTAAAAGCTTATTAAAAGTAAAAAACCCGTAACTAGTAATCCTAAACTAGATAAGACTATCGTTAAAAAAGCGATAATACCTACTAATATATATCTTATATCTCCGCTACTAGAGAACCTATTAGAGACTACTACTATACCTTATAATAGTATTACTAACGAATTAAATAATAACGAATTCGTCGCTTCTGTAGAAATAATAGAAACTAATTACTAAGACCTTAATTCCCTTTCTACGATTGTTAAGGAAGTAATAAGTTAACTAGTAAAGTCTTCTCGACCTTGCCGCGCCTTAGCCTAGCGACTACCTAGTTACTACCAAGCCGCTAGTAGCGTACGCTCCTATACTAAAAAGACCTTCCTATCTACTAATATTCTAGCTTTACTAACTTCTCGTTAATTTTCTCTTAGCATGCTTTCTACTACTACCTTTTCGAAAGTCTTACCTAATAGCATAGTAATCCCGAAGTCTTACCGTAAGGCGTAGAAGAGCCTATAGTAGCCTTAGTAGGAACAAGCCTTTAAACGAGAGATAACTTAATTTATAGAAAAGGGGGTTTACGAAGTCGTTTACCTACTACGTAATGCTAAAGTCTTGCCTAGCAAATAGGTATATAATATTAAAATAAATAAAAATAACGAAATCGTACGCTATAAGGCTTGATATATAGTTTATAAAAACTACGAGAAAGGTAACTAGTTATTATAAAAGGTTTACGCTATAGTTACCTCTACTACCGCAACCTGCCTTTTCTTCGTAGTTATCATACTTCTCGATCTCGAATACGAAGTATATAATTTCGATACTACCTTCCTAGCCGCCTCGATTCTAGAAGGGGGTTAAGGTATACGTCTAGCCCCCTGCTAGCTATGCTACTATAGATAATAAGGTTTAGCTACTTTATAAAGCACTTTATAGATTAAGAAAATTACTACTTTAGTAGTTTCGACTTATTAAAGGTAAAATAAAACGAATTAGCTTTACTATTATTAATAAGGAGGTTTATCTCTTCGTTAACTATAAGATTAAAGCATACGTTCTTATATACGTCGACGATAACGCTATCGCTACTCCTAATAAGTAAGTTATAATAGAAGTTTATCGTCTCCTCGAGAAGGTTTATTCTCTTAAAGACCTCGGCAAGGCTACCGATTTTCTCGGTTTCTAGATTGAACGCGACAGGGCTGCCGGTAAGATTTTCGTTTCCTAAGCTAAGTATATAAAAGCAGTACTTTAACGATTCGACTTTAATAGTTTAAGTATTTAAGACGCTTATAGCGACTACTAACGATCTACCTGTTACCTAGGATAAGAATAAATACTTGCTTAACGAATAACAACTTTATATCGAATAAACCGGCTGCCTTAACTTCCTAGTAGCTAGAACTCGCGTTGACATAGCCTATACCGTTAGTAAATTATTACAGGCGAATTCAAGGCTTTCTAAAGCCTATCTTCGTACTATTAAGTACTTATTCCGATACCTTAAAGGTACCGTTTATCTCGGTATTATACTTAGAGGCATCCTTACGATTAATAAGTTAAGGCTTTACGCTATTATAAATACTTCTTTCGCTAATAATAAGCTATTATAAGTCTCGATAGGTAGTTACGTCGTCTTCCTTGCTAGTATGCCGATTGCTTAGAAGTTAAAGAAATAGACTTTCGTAACTTTAAGCATTATAAAGGCTAAATTTATTAATCTTATACCTATAGTAATTATTATAAAGTAGATTAGACGTTGCCTCTCCTAACTACTTAGCAAACCTATTACTACGCCTACTATTATATTTACTAATAGTACTAACGGCTATGATAACGTTATAAACCTACTTAACAAGGTACGAACCTGCTATATCGACGTCCGATATAAATAGATTATATAGGAGGTTTATACTACGAAAAGCATCGAACTCCGACTTATCAAGGGCGCTGATATGGCTGCCGATAGACTTACGAAGCTACTGGTTGCGGTTAAACATAAGGAATTCGTTCGTTTGTTAGGCATGGCGGAGGGATTAGATTAAGAGGGGGATTTTGAGACTATAGGACTATTGATATTAAGACTTCGGGATTCGGAGGATTTCACAGCCTCCTATTAGCTAGGTTTAACCGGTAATTAACCGAGTTTTCTAATAGTTAAGAACTCCTCGGATTTAGAAGATTTAGGACTTTTCCTATATTTCTTATTATTCTACTACTTTTTCGCTAAGGAGTCTGAGAGGGGGTGTAGGTAGCAGGCCTCGCCGGCCCGTCACGTGGGCTGACGGCCGCCACCACTGGTCTTAGCCAGCCTCCACAGCCCTCTAGCCAGTTAGTTAGTTCTTCAACCAACAACACCACTTTTCCCATTCTGAGCGTTCTGTGCTGGTTTCGCCCACAAAAAACTATGAATATGTTGATTAGGAAGATACGAAACGTGGTACTTCCTTCTATGTTACATAAGCAATCAAAGTCGGCATGATTTTGGAAGGAAGGAGATTGGACAGGTATCGAACTGTTGGGAGGAAGTTAAGATGCCTCGAGGTACTGATAGTTTAATGGTCACGTTACTTGTTCAAAATGCGGCTACATTTGTAGCAAGTCAAGAAAGAAATCTCATGAACGCACAATCAGTTCTTCCGTACACCATACATTATCCACAAGACATCTGCTAACAGTACCAGCCTGCCCCAAAACTTGAGTCTAATTTCGTCTGTTTAGAAAACAGTGCCATCACTCTTGATAAGGATTGGGCTCGACTTCGTTTGCGGTCGACGCTTAGCTGCAACCTCACGTCCAGACTTCCATGACCCGGCCTCGAGCAGTTGCGCCATGCTGAGGTGAACTCCTTCGCCCATGCGGGCTTGAATTTTGCTGTACAGTTTGTCGATCAGTACCAGAGTCATTGCTCTCCATTCGACAATGGCATCGTCTCCCGCGTCAAAAAGTGGCAATTCCCCGCCAGATGCTTTCAGCCCTCGCTCGAGTGTCTCCGGCTTCAAGACCAATACGCCTAGATCGACGAAAAGGCCACCATTGCGATACTCCGGTAAGGCGGTCAGAGAGTCTGCATTGATCCACTCTAGGCCAAGGACCCTCTGGAAAGGGACCATCAAAGAATAGGTGAGCCACTGCGTGAGTTTATGGAAAGGCTGAATACCATCGGCAGGGTCGGAGCTGCCGGACGCTTTCTTAAGGGTGCTCAAAGGCCATGCATCACCTATAGGTGTACCGTTGATGGTGGTTCGATCTTTCGGCCAACAGGGAATGAGAAGAGACTGGAGGGTGTCCCAGAGGAAAAGCACATCAAGTTGAGAGGAGCCGCCGGCCGATTTGATCAGAGTATCTAGGGATTACGTGAGTAACCAGTCATTATGTGAAAACAAGAGGCAGATACTTACCAACGAGGTTTCCTGGACGACCTTCAGGACCGAATACATCTGGATGGGCGAGCAAGGACTGACCCAGGCTTCTGAGAAGGCCCGCACGAGAATCAACTCCCAGCATGGGGTTGCTGTCAGAAACCTGGAAACCGTCTGAGAGAGCACTTGTTTGAAGCTTCTCCAGTCCCTTTCCTGTACATCATAACTCAGCTCACGCTCCACAAGCTCATTACTGTTGCGCTTACCATCGACAACTGGGATAGACCCCGAAGCAGTAAAAGCCAAGGACTTGAACATGTGAAGACTGGCTACCGCAATGCCTTCACTTCGCTCATAAATTTGATCGGTTCCTGGTTCGGTGTATCGCCAGTGGTCACCAGCACCTGCGTCAAGGAGGACAGAGACGAAAAAGAGGTCAATCAAGCGACGGGTCACCTCCGTTTTATCACACCCCTCTTTCTTCCACTCCTCCATGATGTTAGCGACGCGAGGAACACCCCCAACCTCGAAATGTTGCCAGCGTCCATGAGGAGGAATAGTGTCAAATTTATCAGGGCCATAATCACGCTGAGGGAACGGTTTGTGAGTTCAGGGTTCCGTGACGAAGAGGTTTAAAGTCTAACCTTGATAACGGAAGCCACAAAGTCGACGACTTCATCCAATTTATCCTCTCGGACCTCGAAGTGGCTTAAGTTTCCATCTTTGGCAACATTCCCGATGACATTGAAACGATCGCGGACAGCGCGCAAAGAGAGAAGGTACTTGACTTGAGAATCCATCTTTGAATATTCAGACTGGGAGAGCTTTGGGATGTGAGGTCAATGAGGGGTATGGTTGATGCGCAGCTCCCGTGACAGGAGATGTGCAGGGGAACCCCGCACTCATTTATAGCAGCTCCGAAACCACCTAGGCGGTGGACACCTGCAACCATACTACTACCCATGGGGTAAGCCTTATCGGCGTAGAGGACGCTAATGCATGCAAGATATCGGGCGGCTCCAGCCGTTAATCTAGGTACTCCTACTGCACCCTACATCACGGCTTGGAAAACATACATGAAGTCATGTTTCAATGTTGAAACGTCCACTGGCCTTGTAAGCACTTGTGCTTCTGTTTATTTCGAAAAAAGAGATAAGGATTCTATGCTTTGCAATAGTGCATTTCGATCGATGTCATGTATGAAGTTGCCGTCGATATAGACCGTTCGTCGTTCAGATTACGGTGCTGTACAGTACCCCAGGTCACAAGGAAGAGAACATCTGGTGTCTGTGTTCAAGACTTACCTAGCGCAACCATTAGGGAGCTATCCGTCAGTTGAGAAAGGTTTAACGAGCAGACCAAAAGGGCCCACAGTCCCATCTAGTTTGACAGTAGCATTCCATTGAATACCAGCTACTTAGCCAAAGTTGGCCGACATAGCAGGATGGTGTAGACTCGCTTCTCTAAGATACCACTACTGTCGCTGGCTGTCGAAAGGCGAACGAATGAGTTCTCAAGTTCCCTAGTGGGTATATTAGCATCTAGATACTGAAGCTCGGAAATACTTTTGGAGTTGTGCCTGAGTAAGCGAGAGATATCGGCTAGGTAGTGAGTAGGACTCTTGAAGGAGGCTGTCATTACAAGTTAAACGACTTCAACTACCTATGTGACGGGCAACTGGACGGCACATATCTCTCCCAACCACTTTAATCTTCCTTTCTACCGTGGTTCCACACATGCAGGTAAAGTACAAGAGTCTTCCCAAACTTGATAAGATCCCATCTTTCTACGCCCGTATAGGTATCTGGGACCCTAGCATACTTCAAAGCCTGTTCCACCCACATTGCTACCTAAATCTGTGTCCGAGGCTAATGTCACAGCAAGCAATTCAATGTACACTGACCGCATTGTGCCTCTCACATAACATTGGAAGAAGACAAAAGTTGAGATATAAGCAAGGCGAATAAAACTCGCCTGTGATTTACCACGTTAATGGTCGTGGCCTGTGCCCCTCGGCAGCCGGACGGAACTGTCTGGACGGGAAATCCACGTTGCCGAATGTACGCCCGAGATGAAATTGTGGTGAGTTCGTTGGTTAATCAGGGTCGATAATTCATGGCATGAATTTTCCAGAAAGGACTTTTCCCAATGCATTCCAGGCAAAGACACGGAATGGGTCGAGCGGCACCACTTTAAACGATCCGGTGTAGGTTGAGCAAGGACATTCTACTGCCACCGGCTGACGAGCTGGCTACGAGCCTGATTCGCTCACTATGGGGACATCTTCCTAGACCAAGCATTGTTGAATTAAGCATTCATGTCAAAATCCTCGGGTTTGCAAGAACAGTTCTCGTCGCCTGGGGTCCCTTGGTTCTATTTGGAACGACGGCATGAGCATCCCACTCTCTTCTCCGTTCAAAAACGTTGCATTCATGTGATCTTGATACCACCGATACGGCTGCGGATGGATCCTTCGAGTTGATAACACCCTCCTGCCAGCGGCATAGTGCATAGCTACACACCAACTCTGATGGACTTCCGGTAAGTATAAAATGCCGGCCTCGCAGATTTGCCATTTTTGTCCAAATTTCCGTCTCCAGAGGCTCTCACCCTGATGGCCCGCGGCCCCCAATATAAGAACAAAGCTTCCAGCCACGGACTCCGAGTTGGCAGAAGAACACCAAAGGCTGCGGTTGCCACCGAGAACCCTCGGCGAGGACCCTTAAAGCACCGCAAACCACACTTACACTAGGCGTTGCAGCGAATTTCAAACCCCACAGATCCTCATGAAGGCCATTGTCAACATCGCACTCGCTGCTATCGCGGCCTCCAGCCCCTTGTTCCGCGCCGATCACAATGGGCTTGAAATCACAGCGCAGCTCAACAGTCGCGCAACGGGAAGCACATCAAAAGAATTCACCGAGGGCGGTTGTCGTGATGTCATTTTCGTCTTCGCTCGGGGTTCTACAGAGCTCGGAAACATGGTGCGTCCCGCCCCCCCGCCCCCCCGGCTCGGGTGTTTTCTCCCGCTTAAACCCCGTATCCGCCATGCATGGCCCCCATCAGATGGAAGCTGACATCAAAGCGTCACAGGGATCAACTGTTGGCCCCCCAACTTCGGACGGCTTGAAAAAACGTTACGGTGATGACAAGGTCGCAACAGAGGGCGTCGACTACGCTGCCAGTCTGGAGACCAATCTTGCGCCCGGTGGCGCGGATCCATTGGCCGTGGCTGAGATGAAGAGGCTTCTCAATGATGCCACCGAAAAGTGCCCCAAAGCAAAGATCGTCGCCGGAGGTTACAGGTTAGTGTAATCTTGAAGGCTCGAATGGTGAATTTCTTCAAATCAAAGCTAACGCTGTGCTTTAATAGTCAAGGGGCAGCTGTCGCCCATCGAGCAATCGAGAGCCTTTCCGATGCAGTCAAGAAGAGAATAGATGGTGTTGTTACTTATGGCGACACCCAAAAAGCGCAGGACAAGGGACAGATCCCCAATTTTCCCAAAGACAAGGTCAAGATAATTTGCAACGACAGCGACGAGGTTTGTAAAGGAACGCTCGAGATTGAACCTGCGCATCTGGATTACGTGAGGCGTGTTTCCGAAGGTGTTGATTTCCTGGTCGGGAAAATTGGTAACATCTAAGTCATGTCACTTTTTGACTCCCGTTTGGTCATTAAGAATACGAAGTTATGAAAACAAATGATAAATCTATCTAGGATCCTGAATTTGAGTAACAGCTGTTGACTAGGAACATCGAGCGCGATGTACATAACCTGCTTTGACTATATTTCGATGCCCTGAGTAGGTGGTAATGTCCTCGGACCATCAACTTGGCTTCGGGCTATACATAGTCGTAACTCTCATTAAAGAACAAAATCAAATCATCTGTTTGCCTGTTGTCTCAAATACTAAGACTACGCGCCCGACTCCAATGTGTTTCTCGAAGGTGGTGCTTGTACTTTGTACTCCTTGAAACCCTTCGAAGCGCATGCATACCATATATGTTTTAGCCAGACAAGGTCACGAGGTGACCAAACTCATCTTGCTATTTCCTTCCGGTTGTTCTGTCTTCCTTAATGATATCCGCTGCCTTTTCTGCAACCGCATACACAGTGCTTTGGATGTTCCCTAAAGGCTCAATTGGGAAGATGCTAGCATCGACGATACGAAGGTTCTTCGCTCCGTAAACACGCAGCCTCGCATCGACAACGCCGCCCTGCTCTCTTGGCATCATTGCGCAACTGCCCGAAACATGGAAAACGGATATCTGTCGCTGGCGCACGATGTCTTTGGCACTTTCGAGGTCGTCGCCCTTGATTTCCGGCAAACGCTTGCCTCCAGGTTTCAGAAGGTTACCGAATGGTTCGGTTCCCACGATTCGCTCGACGAACTGCACGTTGCGCGCTAGCAGCTCCAGATCTAGCGTGTTTGAGTTGTATCGTGGATCCCAAACCGGGAGCACTTTGTAGTCAGGGCTAGTGATATGAACCGTTCCGCGCGAGAAAGGGTGGTTGAGAATCGTCATGACGGTGATGTAGTTCTCGGGGAGTGAAGGAAGTATATACTCGGCCATGTTTTTGGGATGATCACTAATGGTAATCTGGGATGGAAAAAGAAGATATTCGGTGCTCGGTTCGGTGGATGACTGCACGAGGGATTGCACAATCTTCGCCGAAGGCGAGCTCAGCTGATCTGTGTGATTCGCAAACAGCTGCTTCTTCTCGTCATCGGAAACGATACCATTGGCATCAGCAAGTGGTGTGTAAGCTGCACTGATAATGCTCTGGCCCATTGGGCCCTCGCGGGTCGCTTGGTACTGGCCCACAACAGCATTGAGGATATTTCCATCCCGAAGACCGTCTCCGGACGGAACTCCATCATTGACCTCGAAGCTTTGGCAGACGATGGGATGATCTTGAACGTTCTCGCCTACGTTGGGGTTGTCAATGACAACCGGGATATTGTAAGTATCGAGGAGTTGTTTGCCGCCAACACCAGACAGTTCCAGAAGCTGGGGCGTATGGAATGTGCCAGCAGAAAGTACAACTTCGATTTTGGCCGAAACAGTCTTTTCTTGCCCATCCTTGGCAACAACTTGCACTCCCGTCGCCACAACATCACCATTGGCGGTATCGAAGTTGATCTTTTTGACTACTGCTTCAGTCACCACAACGAGATTCGGCCGCTTCGCAACCTCGGACGTGTAGTATGCGCTGGCTGCATAGCTTCGCGTTTTAGTTTTTGGGTCGATACTGCAAGGATTCTGGAAGGCTCCAAAAGCCTTGCCGCTGCGAGGATCACCCGTTACGCCGAGACCAAGGTTAGCGAAGGTGCCCATCCATGCCGCATTCATGGGATTGTATCCCTCTCCAAAAGACACTTGTAACGGCCCATTTCCACTAAGCGTTGGATCATGGTAATCTAGCCCAACTACGTCCTTTGCAGATTGTGGCGGAGGATGGTCAGTGGCGAACTTGCGGAAATACGGCGCAAGAGAATCGAAATCCCAACCCTCATTGCCAAGCGATCCCCAAGCGTTCATGACGTTCCTCGAAGGATAAAGCATCAACATGAAATTCAAGGCGGAACTTCCACCTAGCATCTTACCCCGAGGCTGGTTGACGCGCCTGTTGTTCAGGTTGGGCTTTTAATCATCAGCGTTGTGAACGACAAATTGCAAGCACCACGAAAGACGGGTTTGAAACCATACCTGGGGAACCGAAGTGAAGTTCCAGTCATACTCGTCCTTCCCGTAGACCCCAGCCACCAAACCTGGTGTCAGAACCAGAGGATTGGTGCTCTGGTCGGCTCCAGCTTCTATTACGAGGACTCGAACATCAGAGTCCTCGCTGAGTCGGGAGGCAACGACTAAGCCAGCTGTCCCGCCGCCAACGATGATGTAGTCGAAGACTGCGTCAAGACCTTGCGATGCTGTCATGATGGACTAATCAATAGTGGTATCCTTCAGTGTAAAAATTACGTCGATGGTTTTCGGAAGTCAAAGCATTTGTAAAGGTTAATCAATAGCCCAGCATCCAATGTGGCCAGGTTGGCTTAGACTTGCCTCCAGTACTTGCTTTCTCCTCATGGGGTAACGTTAAGGTTGTGCATGAAGCTAGCCATTTATGGCGATCTGGGCCGGCGAACCCACAATCCAGCTGTCTGAGTTGTTTGGCATGTTTTGATACGGACCATTTGCTCAAGGACAATCTGTTCCTACCGTTTATCGGTTCCTATGTAAATCACGCATACACGGAAGTATTCTCGCACATAGTGTCGATTCTTGCAATATCTTTCTGGAATTGCACACATTTCAAACTAAAACGTCGGAATAGTGTGCCTTTTGTCCCAGAGTCGTGAACAACGACGGCTCGAGCAAGCATGGAAATCTTTGACATTGAGGACAATAAGGCTTCTCCATGAATTTGACCTGTGCAAATAAGCCGAGCCCAGAGGAGAGATGACTGCCTAAAATACTTCGGCCCAATGGCAACCATTAGCGTGGCATGCGTGGCGTCGACGTGATCTTCACGGAATTCATACTGAGAACAGAGTAGCGCAGGAAACTTGTAAGCAGCAGTGGGTTCGGTTCCACAAAGAAAATACCCACGAAGATCCGCCGCTATTCCTATAAGATCCAATCATGTGGGATAATTTGATCATTTCGAGTTAACGTCGAGCACTTGGTGTGAAGAGTGCAAGGGAAAGGTATTGCTGGTGGACTCAAAATGACAACCAATTCACGAGGCATCATACTGCGATGTAAAAGGGGCCGTTCACAGTCAGGTTTTGTTCGCTTCTTCACTTCTTGGCATATCTGCTATCCCATCGACTGGCAGATGACCTCAAAATCGCCAAGGATTCGAGTTCCCATTTTAGCCCCAATTTTACTCTGCACTACATTGAGTACGTAAAGAATCTAGGATTTATCATCCAATTTACTAGTATCTCCAGAAGTGGCGACTACTTTGAGTGCACGATATTTTGTACTAACGTCGCACACCCACTTCTCGCACACCCCCACATTTCGCACACCCATAAATCGCTCATGTAGAATTTTACCCTCTTCAACATTCTTTAATATCTTCACCACTTTTACAGCGATTATTATAATTCTTTGAATAGTTACTCTTATACGCTTAATGGGCCAGTATACGGAAACAGAAGTCAATCAAGCTCTCAATGCAGTTGCAAGTGGGCAGAGTGTCCGAAAGGCAGCTCATGATGCTGGAATTCCACCATCAACCCTCCAGTCTCGATTAAAGGGTTCACAGGCAAGAAATGTAGCTTTCTCTAGCTTCCAGAAGCTATCTCCAGCACAGGAAAGTCACTTAGCTGAATGGGTGCGTATCCAGGCGGCGTTAGGGCTGCCGCCAACACATCAACAACTCAAGGAATTTGCCCAGCGAATCCTAGACATCAGAGGCACTACCCAGCCACTTGGGAGAAACTGGATTCAGTTCTTTATTAAGAGAAATCCATCAATCAAGGTTCATAGAGCTAGAGCCATCGATTCTAAGCGTGTCAATGGGGCCTCAACTAATGTAATCAGGCAATGGTTTCAACAACTCGCCCTTCCAGAGATCAAGGCGATCAAACCACATCATCGCTATAACATGGATGAAACTGGTATCCTAGAAGGCAGAGGATCAAATGGCTTAGTACTGGGATCATCAGAAAGCTCATCAATGCGAAAAAAACAGCCTGGGTCTCGGGCTTGGACAACTATGCTTGAGTGTGTCTCTGCAACTGGTCAGGCGCTTCCTCCACTTGTTATTTATCGAGGGAAATCGGTTCAACAACAATGGTTTCCTCTTGATATCCATAAACGTGATATTTACAGTGGTTGGAAGTTCACAGCAACTGAGAATGGCTGGACTTCAGACTCTACAGCTGTGGAATGGCTTGAGAACATCTTTATCCCTCTGACTAAGCCTGATCATCCCTCTGAGCAGAGACTATTGATCCTAGACGGTCATGGCAGTCATGAAACAACAGAATTTATGTATCTCTGTTATAAACACAAGATATATCTCCTTTTCCTACCGCCACATACATCCCACGTTCTCCAACCTCTAGACCAAGCAGTCTTTGGGCCTCTCAAGGCGACCTATCGAAAAGAGCTTGGATACCTCATTCAACACAACGATTCTACAGTTGTAGGCAAACGGAACTTTCTTACCTGCTATGGAAAAGCACGCCAGATGGCATTTTCAAGCAAGAATATCAGAAGCGGCTGGAAAGCAACAGGACTATGGCCCATTTCGATAGCTCGACCGCTCATGAGCCCTCTACTGCTTGAGAATGCTTCCAAGCCCTCAAAGCCAGGCTATTCTACGCCTATGAGGGCCTCTGATGGTGGAAAAGACGAAAACTGGGCATCTGCTACATCCATAGTAGCCTGGTCAACGCCCAAGAAGACAGTTGATCTATATGATCAACTTAGCTTATTCAGCAAGTTGGATAAAGATCAGCAAACGCAGCGACTGTTGTTTCGGAAGGTTCAAAAGGGATTTGATGAAAAGGACTATCAATTGGCTACAGCAGAGAAGAAGATTGCAATGTTGGAAGCAGAAGTTGAGGCTGGAATGGTACGGAAGCGGCGTAAGGTCCAAATGAGCCCAAATTCGAAGTTTGCCAACATTGAGGCAATTCACAAAGCCCAAATTGAGGCTGGCGAAATTGAGGATAGCTCAGATGAATCTAGCGAGCCTGAATTACCTATTAAAACTGGCGATAGTATCACAGTTGCAGGAGACGAATCAGACTTATAGTTATGAAGTTGATGAATACCTCATGATGACCCAATTTATGGGTGTGCGAAATGTGGGGGTGTGCGAGAAGTGGGTGTGCGACGTTATGCATGATATGTACTGCAAGTTTTGAGGACATCAGTTAACAAATCTAGTAGCTTACTGAGTCCTGATTGGCTTGACCCCACCCTTGGCAATTTTGAGGTCATCTGCCAGTCGATGGGATAGTCTCCCAAGGAGATGTGATTTTTTTTTTTTTTTTGATTTCACTACAGTGCTATAACTTATATAAAGTCTGGCCTCTAGTAAGCCTTCGAGCTCTATTGCTTGCCTCCTAGTGCCCCCATTCCGTCACGAGAAGCCGTTTAGTGGCGTATCAGAATATGAGAGATTGGACATGTCAACCCTCTCAATATTCTTCCTCTACACTGACCAGCTTGCAAGACTCCTGCCACAGCAGCGTAGCTTTCTTCTCGTCGTAGGCCCATGGTGCGAAACCCGTGTCGGTTGACATCATGTTGTAGCCGGCGGACGTGGGGTGTGCTTCGACACAGTCACTCAGATACCTGCCACCTCTCCCTTCCCATTCCTTGCTCACAGCGGCGTAGACCGTGGTGGAAGCCCCCTGGGCTGGACTCTTGAGGATACTCATCATCTTGTTGAACAGTTCCTCACCCATTGCCGCCTTCGCCGCTTCCACATCGACGGGCTGCGCGGCGGACATGTTCGTCATGATGGATCCGGGATGCAGAGAGAGCGAGTGGAGGCCCTGGGAGCCGAAGCGCCTCTCGATTTCATTGGAAAAATAAATGTTGGCCGTCTTGGAGTGTCCGTAGGCCACTGACTGCTCAAAGGAACCCTCTTCCTCAAAATTGAAGTCGTGGAACCGGATTTCGCTCGCGCGGTGAGCCATCGATGAGACGGCCACGACGCGGGAGTTGAACTCCGGAGTGGCTGAAGCCAGCAGCGCGGGTCGCAGCAGCTGGAAGAGAAGAAAATGCCCAACGTGATTCGTCCCAAAGTGCGACTCGAATCCGTCAACGGTCTTGGTCTTCTCGTTCTGGATGACGCCGGCGTTGTTAATGAGGATGTTGAGCTTGCCTCCGCTCTTGGCCAAGAAACTCTCGGCGCCTTTGCGCACGGAGTCCAGAGAGTCGAGCGAAAGGACGACAGCCTGAAGCGACCCCTTAGCGGAGAGGTTTGGGGTGTTCGTGATGTCGGCGATGGCCTTATCGCCCTTCTCGTTGCTCCGAACGCCTAGGAAGACATCGGCGCCGGTAGCGTAGAGGGCACGAGCAGTGTCCAATCCAATGCCTTGGTTCGCGCCGGTGACGAAGACTGTTTTGCCAGCCAGCTTTCCGACGAGGTTTTCATCTTCGATGATTTGGAGGGCCGTGGGGCGGGCGTCACCCGGGCCTTGGGGGTTCTGATGGGCTGCGGCGTAACGAGACATAGTGCTGAGGGCTCTCTGCAAAATATCGAAGCGGCAACGTTGGTAATTTTTTATTCTAAGTTTGGATTACGTATAAAATGGTAGTGAGGTCGATTGAGATGGATGAAGTGACTCGGATCCCGTTTTTATAATTCTGGAGATGACAACATAACAGATTTGATTCACAGAGTAGACGTGCGAAGTATCTCGCCGCATGATTTCCAGTCGTTGCTCACATTTCTCATTCAACTCCGCTGGACCATGCCGTCGGCGCATGAAGCCCACTTGTTGGAGCGCAGAAAGATGGCTCGGAGTTCTAGAGGCACGATCATACGCGGAGTGCCTTTGCTCGCATGGGGTTTGCGCCAACATCCCAGGTTGTGTCTGGCATCGAGGCGGAAATTCATCTGGCGGACTTTGATGTCAAGAAAAGCTACTCGCAATGAGTCTTCGGGCGCCCAAAACGAACCGTGGCCGATGGCACAGACAATGGTTCAAGCTGGGCATGTGGGCTCCCTCCCCCTCTCCGTGTCTGACCAGGCTAGCTCTTGAAGACTTTGTCTCTCGAAATCTATCTTCACCGTTCAGCATTGACTGCAAGCACAAACACTAACGTCAACAAATGTTAGTGAATGGGCGACAGAATTGCAATGCTCGTCAGAAGTGCTAGTGCCAGCACTTTGCTGTCATTTGGTGGGCTCCTTGTTGCGTGTCACCCAAATCCCAAGCCATCCCATACAACACTCCATACCAGGAACCTCCAGCGAGAGATTTTGCGGAAACCGCATGTAATGTCGCTATCGTCTAGCGCTGACGGAACCACGATCTGGGACAGACGGAGATATCCGTCGGTGCTTTTCTTGCACAGCTACATGGCGGAAAGGCCCTTTAACGAGAAGGATACCACTAGAGGGAGCCTGTGAAACCAATTTCAAACTCCGCAACTTAATGGACCTGCTTTGATTTAGTACTACCGCGTAGAAACTGTGCAATGTGGCTGACTAAGGAGCGTCTAACGACATGCGGCAGTGAATAGTGTGAGTTGATCGAATCTCAATCGCATTGTCTTCGGGTAGGTTTTTCCTCATCGGGCCCTTGCGGCCAATAATCGCGGGACCCACTTCGGTGTCCCCGCTCCGCCCGGCAGCCCCCCGCCGCACCACGACTTTAGCAGGGGATCCCGGTGGAGGTAAAGGCGCTTCCATGCGCGCGGACGGAAGAGGTGGGTTCTCTCCACTCAACATTGACTACACAGAACCTATGGACCTTTACAGCCATGCAAAGGAGGTCACTGAGGAGTAGCAGCATGAGCGGCAGTAAGCCTTACCCAAGCAAGCTGACTGGCATTCTTTCTTATCTAAACTACCACCGGCTTATGATTGCTATGGAGGGTCATCAGCTCACCCGGCTTCACACGAATACGGTCCTCGGCCAAGAATGATAGTTGGTATTTCCATTCCTTGAGAGTCTGTGTCTTTCTACGCGGTTTATCTGACTCTAAACTACTCATTTCTCAAGATTGCGCCACCTCTGTCTCATCCCCATAAGCTACGGTGTTCTGACTGCTAAGCTGTGAGATGTTTCGTCTTCTTTTTCAGAAAACCTTGGGCAGCCTAGCCCCGCCATCAAGCCGGATCACTTCACCGTTTAACATGGTATTCCCAATCACCTCCTTCACAAGCCTAGCAAACTCTCCCGGCTGTCCTGCCCGTTGAGGAAACTCCATGGCCCCGGTCAGTAGCTCGCGGTCTTGTGGTCGCATGGGGGCAGTCATGCCTGTCTCAAATAAATATGGGGCAATCGTCACCACCCGTATTCCGTGTTGGCCAAGATCTCGGGCCATTGGCAGTGTCATTGATACAACTGCCCCCTTACTGCCCGAGTAGACGACCAAGCCAGATTGCCCTTCGAAAGCTGCAGAGCTGGCTACCATGATTACAACACCCGCTCTCCATCACGCCCCTCTGGGGACACACTGGCTAGATGAGGCAGGAGTTGACGGATGGGATCGAGGGTGCCGCGTAGATTGACATTCAGAACGGTCTCAATATGCTCGTACGAGCAGGGTACGCGCTCTGCATCTAGCAGCTAAAATCAAATTAGCCTCCTTTCCCGGGAGAGACCCCTTGTATGACAAGAGGAGTGATGTGACGTTGAGTTTCCTTGCCACGCACGAATGGCCAATGCCAGCAGCAGTAATGATGCCGCCAATCGGCTTGCCGGCCTCCTTGGCCCAGTCTACGGCAGCCTTGATGGCATTGGTGACACTTTGCGTGATGTTAATATCGCAATGCAAGAATTTCATAGAAGTTCCAAGTTCTGTGGCCGCAGAGGCGCCGAGATCGCTGTTGGTGTCGATAACGGCAGCATTGCCTCCGTTAAGGATGACCATGTTGACGCAACCGCGACCAATTCCGGAGGCGCTGTAATGTCAGCTAGGTAATGAGGACACAGGCTGTATCTATCAACTGACTTACCCGCCCGTAACAATAAAAGTACGTCCCTCAATCTTCATGACTGCTTGTTGAGATTCGCAAAATGGTTATGTTTAACAGAAAAGAGTACAAGTATAATCTGATAGAGGACGCTATACATAAGCAGACAGTTGGGGCGAGATACATGCCGGAAATCCGGCGTTCAGCGCCCCATCACCCAACGATATCATTGCTCAGGAGCAGGATATCGGCGGAGCGGATCGATCAAAGAACCCGGCCCAGCATTCCATGCAAGGTCCGCTCCGCAAGCAAGGTTTGTCAGTTCCAGAATGATACCCCCCTTTTCCGCAGGAGA